AACTAACTACTGCCTAAGTCTTTTAAACTTGGGCTGTAGTAGTATCTGCAGAAACTGCCATGGTTGCTGGGGTTACTATATAATTTGCTCACGGAAGCACGCACATGTGTCAGTTAGATTTCAACAGTTGCACGAGCAACATTAGACCGAGCTCCAGATTCGTACGAGCAACAATGATAAGGGATCACGTTTCAAAATTCTTGTGCATGCTCCGGGGGTTCGATGCCCTTGTTTCCTCACACACACACGGGGTCTCTAGCTCGTTCCCCGGGGGCTCCGTGACCCCACGCTTTCGGGCCACGTGATCGATGGCGCCACCACCGGACCTCCGTGCAGGGTCTATGGCGCCTCCAACGGGGGCTCCGTGAACCCACGCTTTCGGGCCACGTGATCGATGGCGCCACCACCGGGCCTCCGTGCAGGGTCTAGGGCGCCTCCACCGGGGGCTCCGTGACCCCACGCTCGCAGCCCACGTGATCGATGGCGCCACCACCGGGCCTCCGTACAGGGTCTATGGCGCCTCCAACGGGGGCTCCGTGAACCCACGCTTTCGGGCCACGTGATCGATGGCGCCACCACCGGGCCTCCGTGCAGGGTCTAGGGCGCCTCCAACGGGGGCTCCGTGAACCCACGCATTCAGGCCACGTGATCGATGGCGCCACCACCGGGCCTCTGTGCAGGGTCTATAGCGCCTCCAACGGAGGCTCCGTGAACCCACGCTCTCGGCCCAGGTGATCGATGGCGCCACCACCGGGCCTCATGTGGAGAGTGGGGATTTGAGGAATTCCGGAAGGTCGACCGTTTCAAGTATTAGGCATCTAAATAACTACGCCCATCTGGTATTTTTCCGAGACCGAAATTAATTTTTATTTTAGTATAAGTATCTGTATCAATTAAATTCTGTACTTAAATATAGCTTACAGTAATTTTACTTTGGATGTTTATAAAAAAAAGCTCGTGTTTGGTATCTTCCGATTTTGCAAATGTGAAGACAAACATATTCCGATTTCCACCATTTGATTAAACTGTGCTTGCTACGTTTTACCAGTTGACAGACAGACTGACAGATGTGCTCATAATGTTTTTTCCGAAAACATTGTTTGAAATCGTTCAACGATATATCCTGGTGATAATTTCAGAAGCTTTCTCGATCCCTGGTTTAATAATGTAAAAGATATACACAATCCGCGAAACCGCTGCGTCGATTCTGCTCATCCGTCATCTTAACGAGTGCTTAATGAGCTGATTTGAATCTTTTATTTTCGCTTGCACTATCGTACCGCTGTTTATTAACACAAAAATTATATTAAAAGAGGGGAACCTGGCCTAATATCATTGCGCAGAAGAATGATAGTAGGTTCATCGAGAATACATATTGAGTAGAATAAAATGGGACTACCTTGAAAATGTTATTTTTCAGAATTCTCGAAACGTACTCAATACGCGCTTCTTCTTCTTGGTTCGAGAAATTCGATCGTTTTTTCCTTCCCGACACGATACCAATTGGTAGAAGAATCGGATTCGTAGCTAAAGCAGCAGCTGCACCAATTAAGGCAACCCCGGCCAATGCTTTCAAAGCTACGGCCTGTCGAAGAAGATTCAGCAAAATAATGTTTCGAATAAACGGTGAAAAAAGAATATCGATGGAATAAATATTTTACAAATGCTTAATTATTGCCTTTTGCGTCTGAATATTTGGATGTGGGTGAACGCTCCCTTCGGGATAATTCGATTCCGTGGGCCCAAATTCTTCGCCATTAGCAAAGGTTCCAGAAATTCCATAACCGGCGTTCGATGTGGATCCGGCTGTGCTAGTTGGTCTCCCGCTACCATATCCACCATAACCACCATTACCATAGACATATCCTCCAGAGCCACCAGTCTCGTAGCCACTGGGTTTACGTGGACTTTCACTTCCATAACTCGGACGGAAAGCAAACCTGATATTTGTATGAAATCGTGCCAAGTGGTGAAGGTACGGCATGGAAATCGTATCGGTTGAAATCACGAAACAATCGGTTACCTGTCTCCTGTTTGACTCGGTTCGTAAAGCGCAACGCCAGTATGATGTCCGTGTCCAGGTCGCGGGGTGATTCCGTTCGAATCCGGCGGTTGCCCTTGAGTTTGCCACCCGTATCTACACATTATCCGATTACCTTTTCATTAGAAATCTTCCACTTTCTCGCGTCCCTTTCTAAAAACACACGTGTAATGTCAGATATTACCTATCGACCGGTAAACGTTCACCGTATTGAGTCAAGTATCGATTGCTACCCGTCGAAGTCTTGCCGTAGGATGAATCGGGTCGAATCGATGCATTGGAACCGTACCTTGGCCCGCAACAGCTGGAACTTGCAGATTTTAATTGGTCGTGTGGCAAGATTTTACAATATATAACGAATTTCTATGTGTATCGTGAGAACGTTTGACTTATCTCTCGACTCTGATTCCACCCGTTGAATCGTTGCTCTAGACTCTTTGTCTAAACTTCTGTCGTATGCATCGGTATTGTTGCTCGACGAACGTACAAGATTATTCGAGGAGTTTCTAGCACGTACGATGTTGCTTAACAGTTTGTCCTCGGTAGGTTTTTCCTTCGTCAGCTCAGATGTCGAAGTGTATCCATTTCTTTCGGTAAGGGCACAGCAAACAGCAATGGCGAACAAGGAATACCGAAGGAAGCGTTGCAACATGACGGTAACAAATCCAGTCGGACAATGTCGAAGCAGTTTCGATGTGTTTCCACAAAAGGATGTCACGAAAGTGATTCTTTCCTCGAAGGAGGTTCTCCTTTTTATAGAGTGGTCACGCATGGGGTATTGTCGCACGTTCACCCTACAGGACTGGTGCACGTTGACTTTGTACCTTTTTCGCTGACTAAAATTCTTTTACACTATATATCCTTGTTACGTAAATTCTTGTCCAATTTTTCGAATAACGTGCCAGTGCATTTCTACGGTTATCTGTTACGAACGCGACAAAGATAAAATACAACGACAGCATTCTAGATAACAAGATTTTGTAGCGCTTTCGTTGCGTCCCTGTGAATTACAAAGTGTGACAAAACGGTGCAGGGAAGTGTGTCGGTGAAAATAAAGTCGCGCGAGTGAGTCAACAAAGCTTCCACCGTCACGGCAACTGTATAATTAACGTCGCTTTGTTACCAGAGTTTTATATAAAATTTCACATTTCGAGGAAAACTCATAATTAAATTATCACGGTTACGAAAGAGATCGTGCGATTTCATGTTCTGCGACGGTAAAACATCGGCAAGGATCATTCGAATTACACGACCGATTATCCTCGAGTTTACGTTTAAGTAAAACGTATCCAAAGTGATTACTCGAATCGGTAATTCGTTTATTCGTAAAATTTTAAATACAAATTTCTACCTACGTTCGTGTTGGCACATCTGTTAATTATCGTCCGGTCAGTAGTAAATTTTCCCGGAAGTTTAAGATGCGTGTCGCTAACGTACCCTTCTTCTCCACCATTTCTACTTTCTCGTCGCGGTTCCAGAGAGAGTCGTGTTTTCAACGTAAAAGGTTTATTTCTGGATAAAACTTGCGCTAAACAACTAACTATACTCCTTACTCGTAACTTTACGACGATCATTCCCTTACATTTTCCAGCGTAATTTCGACGTTACAAAATAGTCGAATATAATAAAGCAATTTGTTCCACTTGCAATTTGTTCCACACCGTACCACGAAATTCGCGTATCAATCCAAGCAAGCTGTTCACAACGTGGCAGAAGGAAACGCGTGATTACGGCAAGCGTGCGTTACCTCCGAAATGATTTCATCGGTCAAAGTCCTCGCGGAGATTCACCCCCGAGAGAGACACGAATCCGTTGATTCGATTGGAGTTGACTGTGAAATCGGAGCGTCTTTTAAAGTCATAAATTTAACAGATCTAGATCTTTGATGAACGCAAAGAAGCGCGCGCACAGACGTTACGGGGCTAATTTGAAGAGAAAAGGGGTGGAAGAAGTTGACGGTCGTTGATGGAACGGAAAGATTCGTTGCGCGAACCAGGGTGGAAGAGAGGAAAAGCCGCGAAAAAAAGAGGAGAGGCCATGGTCGGCGGGGCGGCAGGAGAGAAGATACGACGAGGACCAAGAGATCGCGGAATGGAGCAAGAGTAGAGTAATCAATACGCATTCACACGCGGTCGCTCGCATCCCGTTTCCATGGAGACCGACGCCGGCGCATGTGCAGCCCATACTCGCGTTATTCTGTCGTCGAAATTTCCACTGGAAGCAGTTTCGTTCCAGTCCGGTCTGGGTTAGGACGGAACATTCCATGCTGTATCTCTTGTCAATGACCTATTCGATGCTTGAGTTTAAAGTCTTTTCAGATTCCATTCCTTTTTTTTTTTCAAACACCATATAGATACATCTGGAAATTGGTGTCTTCTACATATCTTATTGTTCGTGTAGCTGACACTGCTTTCACTGTGACTCGCATAGTACGATCGAGGAGACTGAACCAAAATTACAGATACTTTCTGTTAATGGTATTCAAGTCTATCTATCCAGGAAAGGAATGATTTGGTTATCTTCGAACCGGAGCTAATCATGTAGAATCGTTTCTTCGACGACAGTCATCTCGCTGTCTATTGCTGTCTATCGCTGTCAATCCAGGGTTCGGTACAGAACGGTCGGATGTTCACCCCCTGGCCGAGTCAGAGGGGATGGAGCCGTTGCGGGTGGACAGGGGGTGCTTTTCCATTGGGCGCGTGCGTCGAGTCCTCGATGGACGACTCGACGAGGTAGGTGCTCGACCCGGACGCAGTACGGAAGATACGCTGTACACGAATAGTGGCTCTATCCTCGTGGCATCCGTCGTGTATTCCTCTTTTCCTTCGTATTCATGACAATAAGAGCTCGCGATCCGATCGAGAAAAATTTTACGATCAACCAATCCGTCCATCGATAATCGATGTTGATTGGAAGAGTTCGGTGGACTCGTTTCGCGACGCATCCGACGGTTTCTATCGGCGAAGTGTTTGTAAAATAAGCGAACGTTCGTGTGACAGACGTTACGGCCGAAAATGTGGACGAATTCCGATCACTTTTAGATGCTCCAAGCGACGCATCGAACATTCGGTACGAGGCAAAATGAAAAACATTATCACCGTTCACACGATGCAGGGTGATATATGTAGACACATGTACATAGTCAACGTGTCGCGGTGAAGCATGTTTAAGCAAAAACTTCCGTTTCGTCCGCATAGTGGCTCGTGTGTGCTGCTCCAAGTCTGTATTCCCGGTACTTTGATCGCGTTGCACCCCGCCTCCCTTCCCCTCCAATCGCTCTGTTTCTCTCTCTTTCTCGAACAACAGGTAAAAAGTGTAATTCGATGGTAACTTGGTAACCCGTCGAAGGTATATTCGTTCGAGCCATGTCTTAAGATAGATTTTAATCTCTATCAATGAGACTATGCATCTCCGACGTACGAAAGATTAATCTTGGAAGAGCATCGACTTGCGTTCTTATCACCGTAAAGGCCAGCTTAGTGGGATTTCATCGTCGCCTGCATGTGGGTCACAAGTTTCATTCGCCAAAGCTAACGGGATAGTCGGTTTACCGAGTAGAGAGGTAAGCCTGTTAAATTGCGTTACCCTCGGGCATCTTGCGTTACCGCCACCCCTGCCATCAATTCCGTTTTCTTTCAATGTTTCCCGGAAGGGCTCTTCGAGATTTATCGTGGGTCGAAGCAGCCGAAAACTTAACACTCCACTTATTGGCCACGTTCTAACACGATCGCTGTCGACGATAAATCGACGAAGTATACGATTTTTAAGATCTAACGCAAAACACGAATTGCATTGACATGAAAAAAGTGTGGTTGGTTTTTCAAACTAACCGGTGACCTGGATGGGTAATCATGGGAGAAATTCTAGAGTATTTATAAGTCGCGCCTCGGCTAGATAAGGTCACGTGGTGGATGCAGTTTATGCAGTTTACGGTGTCCTTAACCTCCTGGAAAATCAATGTTCTTCGCGTAACGGCGACTAAACGCCATATCCTATATATCTTCGGAGTCCCTGGGACTTTACGTCATTGAGGAAGGAAAGGAGTAACATACGCTTTGATATAGATCAAAAGATAATCAATAGTTACACTTACATACACGACTATGGAAAGGAGAATGTAAAGGTACATCGGATTGTGCATTACGAAACGTGCAGAATTTGCGTGACCAAGATAGTCGTCCTCCTCTAGCATTCGTTTAAAATCTATTTATCCATTCGAACGAGCCTCATCCGTTACGAAAGCTTATCGAAGAAGCTTGATCGACAGCCACCGCAAACTTCTGCAAATTTTTCTGTTGTCCCTTTAATTTCATTTATAGAAGCCTAACTCGGACTAATACCTTGCTCAGGGGCACCGATACCACGGGCATTAAGAAACAAGGATTATCACTTGGCATCACATTCTATACACGAGATTCTTTTCTAAGGTTTCGTTACATCGTGTGTGCCTAACGAATTGCTGTGAACGAGATTCTCCACCCGTGACGGGAAAATTTATCGTGCGAACAATCGGGGTCGGGGAAGAAATTCGCCGATTTGGAAAAATTGTGGGGGCTCGTCGAGCATCGTTCCAGTACCTAGGAGTTGTTCGTCGTGCCTAGGATTTACGTTAAACGTAACTGCACCCCTGGATCCCCATCCAGCGCAATTATACAGATTCCACCGCAAGTGACACTAGTGACACGATGAAGGGTTTCTCTCTTCTAGTGGGTCTCATTCAAAACTGTCGGTGCGTGACGACCGGCGGGGATGATGTTCCGCATCACACCGCGTCAACTAACGCGACACTTGTCCTCGTTGTGGTAAACATTTCACGGAAAAGAAATCGAAAGGGTCGGAGAAAAATGTCGAATAGCATCGGACGAGATTGGAAACGTTAAAAGATTTCGTTCGACGAACCGTCGTGAGTTTAAAAACCACCGCGACACGCGACGCTAGGTTTCCTTTTCGTAGGACGGCGATGAATGTTGCCACACGCGATATGTTGACTTTTCGCGATGTACTTCCGGCACAAGAAAAGTGCTGCAAAAACCCGGGGCAAAAAAAGAAAAAAGGGTAAAAGACTGCGCGACGAGGTGTACACGGTGAAAAGTGGTTCTTTGCATGTGCATCCACTGTAATGAGAGTCAGTCTTGATACCCGACGTGAGAATGCGTTAATGATGTTTCCACGGAAGTTCGTAACAAAAATTACATTGGTCCGACGTCGATAAAAATTTCTGGCATTTCGGGATATATTCCGACTCGTTTCTGCGCCGTGGAAAATTTTTTATCCTGTCGGTGTCATTAATATTTCTGCGAAAAACGACAATTGAAGGTAAAAGAAAATCAAAAGTGATATTTAAAACTCACTGGTAGTTGAATAATTGAAGATCATTGAGAATAAGAGAGAAAGAGCAACTTCATGGCAGGGAGATCCTTGGGCAAATGACAATACAACCTTGAAGTGAACATCCAGCTGTGTCATACAGGAATCAAGAGAATCGCGGTGTTGACGCTGTGGAGGAAATTGTCCGACTGCGATCCCTTTTCGGAATCCGGTAGCGGCGACGCATCCCCTCGTGACTCGAGACTTAAGCAAAGAGAAAGAGAGAGACGGAGATGGTCTTTCGTCGAACCCCTCGTAGAATTTCTCCCTTCCCCTTTTGCAACGGTAAGGGTGTCGAAGGAGGAAAATCTAGTCGAATCTTACCGTCCGCCTACAGGATATATCGAATATTTTTCGATAGAATTTTTCGATAGAACGTGGTAAAAATAAAATTGCCATCGTTGCTCGGATAACCGGTTTCGTTCGAGCTTCAGCGACAGAATCCGTTTATCCGTAAAGTACTCGAACGAAAGCATATCGTTTCGGTGAAACAATACTCGAAAATTCACCGAGCCTCCCTGTTCTTTGAACGCCTCTTCTCGGCCCCGTAAGTAGTACTTGTCCCGCTTTGCCTCGGACCACATGGCCAACCGACTGTTTTCCTTTCATGCATGAAAGGGTTAGTAACACGCGCACGATATCCCGTTTCCAAACAATGACTAGACGACGTCTACGCTCCCCTTTGAGAATTTCTATTGCTTCTAGAAGCACGAAAGCAACACCGAAAACACGCGTACAAAAGAAACGGAGTGCGCGGGAAAAACGCATCGTTGAACTAGTGGAAAAGAAACGTTCCGCGTTTCTCCTACGCTCGACTCCCGCCGATTGCACAGCGGAAAATGAAGCTTTGTATCTGGTGTGAAAATTACTCGGGGCCTTTGTCGTCGTTCCTGTTAAGATTCAAGCTTACACGAATATAAGAGATTAAAAATCGCAGCTTTTGCACGGTTTCAGAATCACGTGTATCGAGCGAACAAAAATAATGGATGACAGACTGCGTGCTTTTTTCTCTGTTCACTTGCAATTTCTTAATTGCGCCATTAAATTGTACGTACTTTCTTGGAGTTTCGAACATCTCACGGCCAATAAAATGCGCGACATTAACTTTTTTCCCCGAGATGTCTGACGAGGGAAACAACGTTCAATATTTTCCCTAGTACGTATCCTGATTTCCCTTTCACGTGTTTCTTTCCCGCTGCCGCGCCGTACAAAACGAACGCCATTCCACCGACCAGATTCCCATTTGTAGCGGCGCGTCTGCTGGTGAACCTATGCCCCAGCCGTATTTGCGTACGCCTGTTAGGGGTGCGTGAGGGTGCATTCGTTTACCCGAAACTCGATTTCGAAGCTTTGGTAATTGAATTTCAAGTACGTCGACAGGGATGGCCACTGTAATAAATTTAAAGACAATGCAGACGATGTTCAACGATACAGTTTTACATTTTTTTCCCCTTTGATTTGCTAATTGCCGCGACGAAGAGGAAACAGATTTTAGTCGTTTGTACATACCTATTGTCTTTGTCGTGTTAATTACCAAAGTACCGAAAATAGCAAAAGTTTGTTTCTCAATCGGTCTTCCGTGACGAAATACGATACTTAGGCATCGACATTGTTACTTTTCAGCGGCTACATTCTTACAGTCGCGACTTGGGCAAATTTTCATAAGCTTTTCCGTCGCAGGGGGAAAATGTGGAGCTCGGTAACCGCAGCTGGCACGGAAAATGGGCCTGCACCACCGTCCAGAAGCAAGCACAGCGCGACTTTGCTCGCTGGTCACGTGTACCTCCTTGGAGGAAGAAACGGCAATCTTCCCCTCAAAGATATCTGGCGTTACAGTCTCGGTAAGTGTAATAATTATTGTCGTCGCTTTTCATTTCTTGTCGACAGAATATTCGATAGGACAGGATTAGGAGAGCAGAAGGGAAACGTGAAATTCGAGGATGGGAAATGATCCTTCTAATTTTAACGGGTATTAATACTGGATGTCTGAGTACCCGAAGTACAGTACACGAACAACATCTCTGACCAACGCACCCCATCATCGTCTCGGTCTGTGAACGAGGGGTGCGCCACGGAATTTAAACAGGGTTCAGTCTGATCAATAATATGCCATTATTAAAGCCCACGTATATCAACCAGAGCCACTGGTGGATACACCACAATTATGACTCCGCGTAGATCAAGCATACGGGAATTAATTGCAATTGCACCTTCTCGTAATGATCATCGTATTAATCACTTCGTCGCGACGCGCTTGAATGTTATCGTGCTTCCTAATCGTTCTGAAATATCATCGATGATTCTACTTTAAATAGTAAATTTATCGACGATTACTTGTAAGTTTCGAGCGACTGATTGACAACACGCTAAAAGATTCCACATTAATTTGACTAGGTGGTCAATATTCGAATTGATATTTTTAAGAAAATATGGTGGGCGGGTAATGCGACAAAATTCGTGTCGATTTATCGTACGCTCGTGAGACTCTCTATTAATCAAGGGGGGGTTTGTTCGACAGCGAGTACCAGTGAATATTAAAGCAGTACCAGAAGGGTTGGTTGTGGCAGCTTGTCTCCTGGGGACGAACACTGCCCGAAGGGATCCACAGCGTGTTTTAAAAGCATAGTATTGTCGATACTTGATCTTGCAAAAATATTATGATGTCTCGAAGAACCGTAAGAGTACTTCATCTTTGAACGTTTTTGTTTCACCCTCGCTTTCAACCAGTGGGGATATCAAGGGGTTCTCTTGGCTCCACATCCTAAATCATTAAATGGATCTCTATCGCAACGTTACAAGTTCTCGTCTTTCCCTCTTCATTCAGAATGGAATGTAAATGATACAAGTATATATATTTCTGTTTTTTAAAAAGCACGACAGGCTATTTAACGCATCCGATAAAAATTTCTGATTTACCGATCGTGTACAAGTCACGTCCGCTAAAGTTCCGAAGCGATCTCTTTTCCATCAAAGGCATCACGGTTTTACCCCCTGAACAGCACTTTCGGACAAAGGAGAGCATTGCTTCGTAGCAAACTAGATACGACACGTGTACGTAATCAATGTCGGGCATCTCTAGTGTCGGTCCACAAGAGCTGCAACTACTTCAGCCAGAACATTATGCCTCTTACGTAAATTTCATAGGCTTTGTTCTCGAGCACGTTTCAGTGCCAAGCTATGACTTGGATAGTTAACGGTGTTAAACGAGGACGAGTTAGCAGGATGTTGCAAAATCACTCCACAATACCTCAATCGGATACTTGGAAACTTCAGAAGCGAATCTCTCTTTGAAATCTTCGTCCTTCCTTTGTTCGTGTTACGTAACTTCATGCTTCCCTGATTTCTTTTACTTTCATTCTTGCGGGAAAATTAGGGGACTGTCCCTTTTTTCCTCCTTCCCTAAAACTTCCGAAGGGTAAAAAACGTTTGTCTTGTTAAGCGATTGCACCGTGAGGAAGACCGAATTTTAACCCTCGAATAGACGCGGCGCGTGGACTACCGGTTGATCATATACGATATAACTGTGGATAACAATTCCTGTTTTTCTTTCTTAACTCTTCCCGTGACTGGATGCAAGAACCGTGAATCGTTGAAGTATCATTCTCGAAAAAAAAGTTGGCTAGCAACTCGCGCCGCCGTGGTATATGTTATTTGAATACGTCGAACATAATGCTCTTATCCCTCCAAGTTGTTGCGTTAACATTTCGTTTTTTGCCGTGTCCTTGGCACTGCTTAGATTTAAGCTTCCAATCCCACCCTTCTATGCTCCCCATCTGCTTGTCTCTCTCTCTCTCTCTCTGTTTCTGGGAAGCCCCATCCACTCGGTGGATTTATTTCGGAGTAGTAGATTGCCGGGGCGGGTGAAAGTGAGATTTAGCGTGGTGAAAAAGGTTTTTCGGCACCTGTAACGTCACGATCGCTTTTCGTGTACCCGTTCTTTTCTAATTTATTGCCCTATCCCACAAGTTACTTGCCGACGTGATATGATTTAATGCAAAATTGTATCACCCTAAACAGCAGTCTAACGTGTACAACACGGACGACAAACCAAAACGCATACAAAAAAATAAATAACTAAATTATACATACTACGCGAGACGTTCCATCTTTTCTTTGCGTGCACGCAGAACAAGCGAGGCCGTGTAAATCTCGTTTATCCACCAGCACGCGACCAGAAAGTCTGCCGTGTAAAAACATTACGAATAACGAGCCGACGCGGTACCAACCCTTTCTCTATTTTGCTTCACAGTCGAGAGCAAATGGGAAGAATTGCATCCTGGGGGAGAAAGACCGCCGGCACTTCAGGAGCACAGCGCGGTCGCTTACAGGGATTGCCTTTACGTTTTCGGAGGTGAACTCAGCTTCTCCGCGGGCACGGAAACACCGCTCTGGGTTTACAATGTCAAGGTAACGTAACGACCCCACGACAAAACCAAGCTCGATTCTGTGAAAAGAGGATTACGAGCGAAAATACATTATTCATAGTACACGTTTGTAATCGATCCATAACCGATCCGAGTTCGATACACCATTTCAATTCCGTCGCGACATTCAGCTTCGTTTAGTTTAATTTACGTGACTCGATTCGGTGAAGCTAGATAGAAGCCTGCGGGCAGTTCGATCAGCCCTTGCAGACATCGCGGCGGACGATTCCAGCACCCTCGATTCAAAGTAAACGAGACCGAGGGCCATGGAACATGTATCAATCTTGATATACAATATCTTGCTTCGCTGCGTTTTATCTAATTTCCCGGCTGATCGTTCGATGGTGTCAACGGACGCGTTTATCTATACATTTCACGAACACGGAATAGAGGAGGTATCTTCTAATTGTTCATTTCGACGTCACCCTCGTCCTCCCCCAAAAGTGTCTTTACCACTTCACGGGGAACAACGGTAGCACAATCGCAAGTGTACGGTGTAGTCGCTTGGTAGTTGTCCCTCGTCGCGTGTCACCGGTTGCTAAACACAGCCCTCTCTTGTTCGACGAGGGAAATAGAAGTAGAGGATGTACTCGTGTAAAACTGGTTGTACCCGATGACGTTCCTATTGATTTAGCGGTTTCCCGAGGGTGCGATTCTTTCGCTCCTCTCTCCTTATTCTATATCGGCGACCCCTGTACGCGTTCTCCCCCCTGCAGGACAAGTAAGATCATTAGGAGTTTCCTCTGGAAGGCACGACACCGAGTTACGGGATCGTTATCAGGACACACGAGGGTTCGACATAAAACAGATTCGAGTGCTCCTCCAAAAAATATTGTCTGGTAAAATGTAGGAACGTACAATACAAGAGTTGCTCGCATAGATAGTCAGTTCGTCGTGTTGTCGAGTCATCTCTGGAGTCGAAAGCAATCACCAGTCGCCGGAGATGCCATTTGTCACTGTTATTTTCCTCGAGACACCTCGACGCGTGAACGGCAAATAATGATTCGGAAGAACCGCTGATAAGTCGTTAGTAACGAAACATATTGAAGATCTTTCATATATGGGTAATATGTTAGAGAGAAGGGACTGAGTAATAAGCAGTGTCAGCAGCTTTCTACTCAGTTTTGTACCCTCGAAGTTGAACGATTCGTATCCTCCCCATGGGTTTCCACTCCTATTCCACGCACCATGGAAAATTGACATCAACTTGGAGTAAACACGACATGCGTTTCCTTTATTTCGTTAGCGCCCACAGTTCAATTCTACACCTTCGGCTTTTATTAGCAAATAATTCATCTTTCATCGTTCTTAATTTTCTTTCAAGGTTTAAGAACATTCTGCACCGTCGATGGTAACTGTGGTCTCGCTAATTTTACAGCATTTTAACGTCGATGGCGAATTTAGCAACTGCACTACCCCTTTCGCGACCCCCTCGGTGTCGTAATGCGGGGTAAACGCAAGTGGCTGTACAGACCTATCAACTTTAGGCACGTACTTCGAGTTACGTAATTACTTTCAGCACCCCTGCTGCACAGCCTATATACCATCGTTCCTTCCATCGTCTCTCCTTTATATGTACGATGTGCACTTTCTCCTTTCTTCCTGACAGTACATATCGACCGATTAAAGTAAAAGAGCCACGATTCCCATTGCTCGTCGAACAGACTATTTCGTTTCTTTTTTCAATGTTCACAATGGAAAGTCAATCATTCCGTTAACGCGTACCTTGGGATTTTCGTTTCAAAGCAATTTTCCTACTGTTCAAAAAGCTGCAAACTGGAATTGTTATCGTGACTTCGTGTATTAAACTCGAGCCTATTCAGACTGTAAAGTACGAGAGCGAAAAATTGGAGCTGCTCGGGGCTTTTTGTTACGGGCAACCCCAGTCGTATTCCGTGTTCCGGCGTAGTCGAAATCGGAGAATTTCCAAGCCTTGGCTAAGTGGAAAAAATCGAAAATCTTTCGAAACGAATGCGATAAATTAATTTCACACGATTGCACGTGTCTGGAATTTGTGTGAACAATTATTCTGTATGTTACCATTAGAGTAATTTATGGAGAAAGGTGAGAGCGCAAAGGGGATGTGCAGTTCCTAGAGGAAGAAGAGGCCACACGGCTCTAGTTCATCGCGGTCAGATGCTCATCTACGGAGGTTACCAAGACCTTCGTGGAAGTTCACCTGAAATATGGGCGTTTCATTTTGGTAAAACAGCCAGATATTTCTTTTCTACGTAACGATACTTGAAAAGATAAAAATCTAATGTTATACTCATCAGAAACGGAATCCTGGCACCTTCTATCGTCGGGTGAAAGCGGACCAGCTGCGAGACACAAGCATTCTGCTGTTTTACACGGTGACGCTATGTACATTTACGGGGGCATGACTGATCTTCAGGAAAGGAACGACTGTTGGCGATGGGACGTCAATACCGCTTCTTGGTGTCTATTGAAGAATAAACCAGGACCGGGTCCACTTCATGGTCACGCAGCGTGCAGACTTCCTAGCTGCATGCTAATATTCGGCGGAGAAAGCGGTGGTTTGGCTACGAACGAACTTTGGAGGTTTCATTTCGGTAATCGATCAAAGAATCGATGAAGATGCATTGTTATCGACGAAAGTATACGATGTGAAATTCGTTCGCAGGTACAGAAACGTGGGAGAAATTGTCTGTGCCAGGTCCAAAACCCCAGCCGAGGGCGGAAAGCGTTGCTTTAGCAGTGTCGGAATTGTTAATCAGAGGGACCAATGTGGACAATCCGAAACATAAACTGAGAAATCAAAGGACGAGACTGTACAACAGTAGAATATCGCCGAACGAGGCGCCGACTAGACCAAGCTTTCTCAAAGAAATTTCGAAACTGTCGCAGATTAATTTATCACGGCTAAGTCATCCGACGAAATGCAGCTACTCCGTTTTAAGTGGTCAAGACGATAACGAAGAGAGCCCACAAGAGGTAAGCGACATTAAAATTCTGCCAACAATAATGCAGCATAATTCGAATATATTTTTCTCTGTTTGTTTCTGTTACGAGCACACGTATCGAGTGTTACGTTTGCAATGAAAACGCATGTGACAATTTGAGCCTGCCCGCAGGCGAATTCCTATTATCCTTTTCAGCAAGTGGACGCCGAAGTGACCGAACCGTCTACAGGGATGGTGAAATCTCGAAGCGCCAACACATTAGCACGACGAAGGCAAAAGCCATCAGACGCGTCATTAAAAACCACCGACACTACCAATACTAGCGGCAATATTGGCAGCTGTGGGATGACCAGAGATCCTATTTCGGTACCGAATTTCCGAGCACTCACTTTACCCACGCCAGTTCTGACACCTGTGGAGGCAGCCAGACTTGTATTTGTCGATCCAGACGACAATAGTGACAACGAAGAACGGAAAGAGCCCCCTACTTCTAGACTGATAGAAGTTCAAGAGGAAAGACGGTAAACACGAGTTCGAGTCGTAATTACGAATTATATAACGTACGACACGCGAAACACGCGATTGTTAAATTTTACTATAATTTCAGAGATTTTGCAGCTATGCATCAAGCTTGCCAACCAACACGTGGCGAGAGTTACAGTTCACATCTATACGAGGCTGCACTTCAAACTCCGAAAACTCCAACCACCACAAAAATACCTACATCCGCATCAGTCAGGTTCGCTGACTTAGAAGAAGGTGAAGAATCAACATCGGACTATGCGAGTATAGAGGCCAGAAGTCCTGGTGATCCTCTAGCCGATGACGACTGGCCATCAGGCAGAAAATGTAAGCAATATCGCCCTATAGTTACTCCGTCGACGATACGGGAAGGTCAATTCGGCTTTTGTAATCCAAATTATCTTGGACTGGATGAGAGCAGAAATCATCAGCAGCAACAGCAACAACAACAACAAGGCCAGGACGGCAAATACGCGAAAATGTTAAATAGTCCACCGGACAGTGTTTTAGAAGACGAACCAGGAAGATCAACGTCCCAAACGTTCGCGGAGTTATTAGAGCTTCAAGAATTGAAACGAGTTCCCAGAGCACCGCCAAAAAGTTTGCCATTAGGATCTCCGTCTAGAAGAGCAGTTAGCGCGTCAAGGGCTGAAAGACAACGGGCGAAGATTGCCGCAGCAGACATCAATGAATCGGAAACACCATCGTACGGACCAGCACCGCTCTATGTCTTTCTAATTGGAGGAAAGGAAAAAGGGCAAGTAACCGTGTTTGCTCGACCCGTTTCTTTATGGAAACTACAATTGGCGCCACACATCTTCTAAGACCGTCAATGATTCGATTGTATTTCTTCTTTCGTTATTCCAAAACTATATGTGAATAACAAAGGGAACTCGGTTAATAGCAGATAGATGCTAAGTTTCTAGTGCCAACTGTTATCTCGGAGTATCTAGTCATAGCTACACACATTGTGACATTTACACCAAGGTTACTTTATTTGTTTAACCGTATTTCATACCAAAGACTGAATTTCTAATTTCTTTGCGGTATGTGATCAAGCTTCTTGTTCTTATTCTTTTCAATTTCGGTCTTACAGTGCAATGTCGATCGTTGTGATTAACGAAGTTAAGTTTACTCGAGCTTGAAATGTTGAATTTAGTCTACTAGACTTGGAAATGGTGTGAGAACATCAATTGAACTAGACTCGTGATTAGACATCGTTTCATTATTAATGTTTCGTTCATACGTACATATGTGAAATGGCACCTCGATAGCATATCCTCGATTAATTATCGTCTTTAAATGTAAACATACCAAAATGCATGTCTCTCTATATGTATATCGAATGTTTATGAAGATTTGAATTTGAAATTGATTTAAGTTGCCAGCTACGTCGTCTACTTTGTCACTGAAACATTAATGAGTGTAATCGTGAATATATGAAATTGAATCAGACGTTCAGATTTCAAATAGATTCATAAATGGATACATACGAATCGAGAGTTCATATTGAACCAATTATACATATATTTTAAGCGCACATCAAGCGAGTACAGCAGAGTTTTCTACCTCTGATGGTGTCCATGTATAGATAATTCGTATGAATATACTATGATCTAGATTTATCGCAAATAACGCAATTTTCAATATTTTTAGTAGATGGAAAAATATCCAAAGTCCTAAACCATTAGATTCTTTCGACGCGACAAATTAAAGAGACGTACGTAAGCTTTCCCGCTTACATTGACACGCACTAAACATTTTAAAAAACTCGCCTGATCTGCGCTTTACTGCCATTAAGTGTGAACTCAACACGTGTAGTATATAAAATGGCGTAAGTGTAAACTCGAAGTAACGTTTAAAAGATCCTGAATACTGATGGAGATTGGTGTGTGGTTGTGTCGAATGTGTATTATTAATGTACGATTCAATTATTCTGCGGAAATTAGATTTTTATAAAATGATAACTCTTAATGAAATCTTGATGATAACCGCGGACATTTCAGAGTAGAGTTTAAGAAGAATACCCAACGGAAACGGCGTTGATATGTATTTCAGTTTCACTACGAGGAAACGCGTCTGATACCATAATGCGTGCACTCGTTGTCGTGTTCCGCGCTATTATGTAGTAGTTAAAATTGGTCGAATTTTTACATCCGTGTTACAAAATTATAAATCAATGAAGTCTCCATCGCGGCTGTGCCTACGTGCATAGCGTATATTAGCGTTCCGATAGATATATCGTACGAGAAAGAATAAATGGTAAAGTGTGATGGGGATTTCTTGTTCGTGTAGAATTTTTATGCCCACAAAGGCCCAGTACATGTACTCCATCCATAAGTAGCAATGGTGAATGTGGTACTTCGTAGGCTGAATATTAAAAAATACTTTGTGATAGGTTTTTATCCGTTTAACGGAATACTTTTTGTTTCGAGAATAGTTTTAACTTCCTCTGTTTAGTACTTCATATACTTTAAAGATATATTTGTTGATAGGGCAGTGCAATACATAAAATTCCTCAAATATTCTTTGTTATCTTGAGTACCTTATTGGCTACAAAGATTTTATAATATTCAGCTGAAACACCGCAAACATCCGAAAAATCAATGTTTTCCATTCGTAGTAGTAGTCAATTTAACATCTCCGTGTACAAAAGTTAAGATAAATGTTTCGTGATCTTTTTCTTCTTGTTCTACTACGTCTTGAATTTACATTTTTTCATTTTCAGATGCATATATTAGTATGTACAGTACCACCTTGCAAGATTCTCTTTTACTTTGTACTGTTACTTCAACTGTTTTGGCGTAAATGGAGACGACTATTGCTCGAGTTTACGAATTTTGATCGGTCATGAAACTTAATGTGGTATTTGATCGGTGATAAAAAAATTGTGCCCCCCAAATCGTTGCCACAGAAATAACTCTCATCGGTCAAAACTCGTTTCTGAAATATTCAAGCTGTACAATTTTTGTTATTGGGCAAGGAATTTATGTGAATTAAAACACAAGTGAAAGTAAAGTGAAACGACGCGCGCGCGCAATTGAAACATGAAATGCTGCGTCTTAGTTATTCTGTGTTTGATAGATACGCAAAACGCAATCCGATAGTCAATTATCACTGTGTCATTAAATGCGTCCGTTGCCAAATACATCTCGTCAAAGTATACTTATACGTTAAGGGTACATTTATGTTGGAGCTGCGACAAACGATCAGAGCGATGATAAGAGCAAAGCGTAGAAATACACTCTATTGTTTTATAATGGAAGTGTTCATATTTGAGCAGCGAACAGAACAATGCTTACTATTTGTACGATGAACGATAAAAGCGACGAGAAACAAATCTTCCTTTTACTTCGCTGTTATCACAGCTCCAACATAAACGTACCTTAATTCGTAAACGAGATTTAAAGTATAAGCTCGAAGACATGGATTGTATATCAAAAGAAAAAGAAAAATACCAGTGTAGCTGACTTGAGTGCCTCTACTTTTTGCAAATATGTACATGCATTTGATATTTTTCTGGACAAACATGAATTCTTTCGAAAAGAGATAATTCACCATGTTATCTTCTAGCTTATGCTTCCCTTCAGCGTTACCAATGTCTATCTGTCGCACCAGTTATGCGAGTCAACACAATATACATACATACATACATTAGGAAGCGGTATTATATAATACAATGTCGAGAAAAAAAAAAGAGAAATAAACCGCGTCTTATTTCAATGGAGTTTCATATCACAAAATGCAGTATTTTTTCAATGAATAAGCCTTCAAATGGTGGATCTACGCTAATTTTTCTATATTAAATCTTAGACAATATATTGATATTATATGTACGTCTATACATATTACCTCCATACAATTGATGGGTTTGCGTAAACAGATATTATACAATTTTAATATAAACAGTGCAAATTTAAATCTTTACTTTGTAAGACACTTTTAGGGATAAAAGGATTTATATATTTTCTTTCTCGCTCGCAGCTCATGCACTCCTGCTTCGAAAACTCACACACATATATACAGAGTGTTTCATTTAATTAAGTGTAACCCCCGAATATCTTTTTCAATTGTGAAAACGCAAAAAATTTTGTATACGTAATTGAATGGTACATATTAAGTAGTCAGTATCCTGCAGGCGTTTTTTTTTCAATTATGTTTTTCGAAATAGAAATGCTTAAAATCTTAAATAATAAGTAAAATACCAACAACTTCAATATCAGTTCACGGCTAAGGAAAGCAGAACTGTTTTACATATATGTATGTATACATTATGTACTCTTCGTATTTCTGGTGACTAAGGAATATTTACGGAACACAGTGACCAATCGCTTGTCGCCCAGCATTACCTTATGCCTTACTAGAACAGAAAACTTCCCTAGTGCGTTCAGCGGGAAAACCCCTCGCTAAATTAGTCAGTTATGGCGTCGACTAGGTGACGGTTGCTTTGCGGCATCCTCTCAAGAAAACTTTACGATTTGTTTGTTTTTTATGTGGAAGAACACTTAAACGCAGTCGAACATTATCGTTGCAGTCTCGGTGGTATTTTCGTAACTAAATATGGATCAAGATAATTGTTCTGTCACATGTTCCGTAACAGCAGAATGGACTAACTCACAAGGTTCGATACAAAAGAAAACAAATCATCGATTGGCAACTATACGCTTAATTCGTAATAATTTTCGCGAAATGTTTGTCGAAGTACGAGCAGATAAAGGGAGTCTAACGACGAAGCTTTTGTTGAAATCAATATCTGTTTTTAACAAATTTATAAGCGACGGAAAAGCCACGATAAAATTCAAAGAGGAAAACTGTACACTGTTCTTATCGAATGCACCAACTGCACAACTAATTAGCTTCTTGAAGACAATATACATCAAGATAACAAACCAAACAGAACAAACTGGCAAAAATCTATTAAAGGAAAGACTGCTTTCGAACAAGTCACTGGGCGGTCTTCAAGAAATCAGTCCCGCAACAAGCACTGAAGTAAATAAAGCCAAAGAAAAGGCTCTCCAGATATCCCGTGCATCGATTACTACACCGTCACCTGGAGCTGTGAAGAAGAGGAAACGTACAGACGAAAATGGAACGAAACCCGTCATTGCGAAGAAACTTTACGAAAATCCGACAACCACTCAAATTACGGAAGAACAAAGCAAAATTCTAAATGCAGTGCTTAGTGGTAAAAATATATTTTTTACTGGCAGTGCAGGAACCGGGAAATCGTTCCTGTTGAAGAGAATTATAGCAGTTCTACCTCCTGACGTGACAGTGGCCACAGCAAGTACCGGAGTAGCGGCGTGTCACATAGGCGGTATTACTTTGCATCAGTTTGCAGGAATTGGACTGGGAACCGCGAACTTGGAAAGGTGTTTTCAAATGGCTTCACGAAATGCTTCTACAAGCTTGTGGAGGAAAACAAAACACTTAATTATTGATGAAATTTCCATGGTAGATGCAGATTATTTTGATAAACTTGAAGCTGTTGCTAGGCATACTCGTAGAAATGAAAGACCATTTGGTGGGATGCAAATAATTTTGTGTGGAGATTTCTTTCAATTACCACCTGTCTCTTCACGAGATAAGAAAGCAAAATTTTGTTTTCAAAGCGATGCATGGGAGAAATGTGTACATTTCAATTATGAATTACGAACAGTACATAGGCAAAAAGATCCTGATTTTGTGAATATATTAAATAATATAAGAATAGGTAGAGTTACAGATAGCATTGCAGAAACTCTTAAAGCAACAGCTAAACAAAAAATAGAAAACAATGGAATTTTGGCAACAAGGCTCTGTTCTCATGTGAGGGAAGCTGAAGAAATTAATGAATTTCAACTAAATGAACTAAAGAGTGAATCCAAAGTATATGTAGCTCAGGACTCTGATCCATCTATGACATCAACCATGGATAATCAGTTACCTGTTCCTGGCAAACTTGTATTAAAAGTAGGTGCTCAGGTCATGTTGTTGAAAAATATAAATGTTTCCAATGGTTTGGTAAATGGAGCAAGGGGTGTGATTATTAAGTTTGAAGATAATGTGCCCATAGTTCAATTCAAGTCAGGTTTCCAATATCGTGCAAAGCTACAGAAATGGAGCTTCAAGACAAATTTAGGTACCATTCTTCATAGGAAACAATTCCCATTCAAGTTAGCATGGGCCTTTTCGATTCATAAAAGTCAGGGTTTAACTTTAGACTGTGTTGAAATGTGTCTGGCCAGAGTTTTTGATGCTGGTCAGTCATATGTAGCATTGTCCAGGGCACAAAGTTTACAATCTTTACGTGTCCTAGATTTCAATACTCAACAGGTGTGGGCCCATTCAGATGTACTTATTTTCTATAAAAAATTTAGACGAAATTTGCAAGAAATGGAGATGATTCCCCTGGGGAAGAAAAAAAAGATATAAGTGTATTTTTAGGTCCAAAATTGTCTAGGAATTTCAATTTGAAGTATTACTAAAATAACACTATACAAAATATTTTTTAGACTAACATAATTGTGTGTGTGTGTGTATGGACATATACATAAATTACAAATCGACTTATTTTCGGCCCGTAACCTATGATTAACTTGCTCTCAAGTAGATTAAAATTTATTTTATGTTAATTGATGTACTGTGAGATAACTAGGTTTTTTTTAATTTGTAATTTATTTAAGAAAGTAAAAGTGATGATTCTTAAATGTGTTGTATTCAATTATTATACCAAGTTTCGCGCATTTAATAATAACAAGGCGGAGATACATTTATTTTTTGCTTTTTTACAAATATTACAAATTCGCGAATTTGGTTACTGTTTACCTGTTACTAATCGTCTACAGTTATTTCTATTGACGGTATATAACGCCACGTATGTCCGGCATTTATTAATTCCGAACAAAGTACTGGTGTATTTTGAGCTGATTCTTTACTACTACACTGAATGTCTATTTTGTATTGTCCAGCTGTAAAGAACACTACACGACACTCGTGATAAATTCTTCCATACTCCTGCAACTGAAAAAAATCTTTATTACAACAAAGTAAAATGTTTATTAAGGTCTACTGGCAAAGTGACTCACTGCTGGAAGCATAACTTTGTTCGCACCAGCGATGGATAGTTTCGTTTCGAGTTGATAATTATTCACCCCGTTATGGTGATCTTGGTAAAAGTTTATAGATAATATAAGATCACTCAAAGGATGTTTCAAAGCATTACATATTCCTATGCCGACGTTAACACATTCACCTAAATTACATGTAAGTTCATCTTGTGCCTTTACGATCGTATCATTTATCTTTATCTCTGTAAAACATATATCACAGCTGTTACTAACCTTGTTCTAATTTAATAACGAACAATGAAAGAAAATTTAATGCATAAGTGTAAAGATTATACCCCATTGCAAAGGACTCATCCTAACGAGATCTAACATATCTTGCGTGAGAGTAATCCCAGATAGGGATGCTTTTCCGACCGATTCTGTACCCAATAATTGCCAGCGTAAGTCAACCAATGAAGCAATATGTTCGGAACACACTTTCTGTAGTTCTCCAATGTCACCGGCCCCGTTTAACTACGATTAAAATGTGAAAAAAAAAAAAAAACTGTATACACACTCGTACTACTAGGCGTAGAAAATAACTTGTTACCATAGACAATTTATTTAGTGGGCAACGATCAACTGGAACAGGAATTCTACATGACTCTTTACCCTCCATATATATACATTTAGTCTGCGTATAATGCAACTCCATCTCATGATTGGTCATATTCGTTAAGTCTAATACAAGGTAAAATTGTGACGGCCTGGAAATATATTATGAAAAGACCACACGCTAAAACATTACTGTAACGTTATCACTTACGTTTCAGCCGGTAGCACATCCCAATTCGTAATTTGCACGCTAGGTAACATTTCGATAGTTACAAAAACGGACGACGTACGACAATAACCTGCCGCCAAACCGGCACCACCGGAGTATTTTATTTTTAATTGACCCTCGACAACATTAGAAGCATGTAATGGCACAGCAAGTTTCGATAAACGCGAACTCGCTAACGAAGAATGCCCAGAATGAGAACTTAAGCCTGATCTGAACGAGGATGTTAACTCGGATTGTCTTTTTGTGTGCGATGGAGAACTTAATCTAGACGGTAGCGAACTATGTCCGGAATGAGACATTAAACTGCTTGGTTGACTGAGATACGTACTGCTGGTAATATCTAAAGGATATATACATGAAGTATAATTAAAGTATCATTTAACTAAATCCTACGAGTAATAATCAATTGTACCACCATTTCGGGATGAGGGTGCTATAAAATTTGTAGCCGCGCACAAGTTCAAAGTGAGACTTGCACTGACACCGGGTTGTAAGGGTAATTCTTTCATTAAGTTTTCGTCGTCCCATTTGAAAATTTTGTTTTCTGTTGATGTATCTAGTGTTGATTGTACCGATAACTCTATAGTTTCGATAGGAACTTGTCCATTATTTGTAATAGTTACAGTACACTCAGCACTATAGCGAAATAACAAATATATTTAATAACTATCGTTAGTAGAATGCTTACGTATACTAAACTATGTACCTTTCGCCACCATATAGTGATATACTCGCGCTAGTCACTATATTGTCTCCCGAACTGAAACTTGCGGTTTGTGGTAAACTTGTAGCCACCTCTATCCTTGGTAAAGCTGGAACTACCTCAACGGTATACTGAGGATGAACCATCCCCTCCATATATCGAAGTCTGCAGTTAGATTTCACCCCCAATGTATGCGTACTGAAACCGAGTATTTCTAAATCACCGACTTCTTTAGGCCTGCCCGCTAATGTCACTGCAATCGGTATTCGAAGGGAAGGGGATTAATAAGCTGCATTGATACCTCACAAATGTCACCCTCTACCCACAAGTAATCTGTAACCATTCAGATTTTATGAAAATAGGAATCAGATGTTTGACTCTACGAGAATTATCCAATAATCGAAATGTGTACACACCAACTTTGCTTTTAGACAGATTTTTCCTCTCTAATGAGCCGAAATTAATTGGGGTGAACAAAAACGGTCCATGATCTTCCTTGACCCTTTCAACCTTCTGAGGTTGAAGATGCGGTTGCATATTTTTCAAAGTAAACGATTTTGTTTTCGGAATATTTGTTAAGTTCGCAGGTGGTATAACTGTTCCAGTATCTAAAACCTAGCAGAAGAACTTAATTCTTTCTAAACTGCGAGGATAATGAATTTTCAAAATAGTTTCGTAACACTTACGAGAGGTACAGGAGCACCTTCGCACTGTTGAGAAACATTTTGAAGCTGCAAAGCAGTCTCTTTACGTTCATTCGGGGTTAAGTAATTGTACATCGTTTGAAGTAAAAATGTCATATGTCTTGTTGCCAGTGCTGGATTACCCATACGGTTAGCAGCAGCAACAAGTTCATTTATTACTTGAATTTGTATAACTGGCCAACCCTTATGAGTGTCTATACGAATAATTTTTTTTTGAAATATATATTTAGAATAACGTTATAGAAAAGAATATCATTGCAATAATCATTATTACCAGGAGACATGTCAACAGGATCTAAGGATAATTTAAATCCAGATGTAGCTTGTAACATTAAATTATAACATTGTTGCCAGTCTGGATTGGGATTATTTTGGGACACATGTCTTGTTGCAGCCAATCTTAAGCAAAAAGATGCTTTTCGTGCAAAACCAAAGCTTGTATATAAATCTGACAATGTAGTAAATCGGTCAATCTGTAATATTGCACATACTTAACTATACTGACTAATAAGCCAATTATTAAATCATTTTTTCTCTTTATATTACATACTTTTTCCTGTTCACTTAATGGCAAATTGATAAATACAACATTATTTAAATATGAAGCAGCTTGTAAAGTACAGTTTTGCTCTATTGAAATCCTTGTTGCTTTAAAGCTAGCCTCTGTTTCAATTATTCCAGCATATTGGTACTTGCTATAATGAACTATGGCTTCGCGATATTTTTTTGATATTTCCTCAGGTAACAAGATATGTGGCATATTGCTCTTTACCATCTCTATAGCGGGTGATGATGGTAAAGTAGCAACAGCTTGTGAACCCCGTCTATATTATATGATCCATTAACAATTTTTCATAGAATCCCATCAAATTTTTACATATCAAGTTCTATAACCCGTACATACCTTTGCTTACCTGGACTTCCTTCCTGAAGGGAAGAATTTCTTTGTAATGGGAGACTTCTACACATGTTTGGATATAATACTAGGGCAGATGCAGCACATAAGCCTTCAAATGCTGCCCCTAGCCACAGCCAATCATTGACAGCTTGCAACACACTTGCTGCAGAATTATAATTACTTAAAGCATCTGCTGGAAGTCCAGCTTGAAGGCACAAGTCACCTAAATGTTTTGTCATACGACCAACACATCTTTTCCTATTGTTTCTAGATTCAAGATCCAATCCTATGAAATCTTTCTTTTCAAAAGGTGCTAGCAAGAGGGAAACTCGATCTATCTTCTCTCTAGATCTTTCTAATCTTTTGGATTCTAAGATCCAAAATAAAGAGTTCAAACACTCCATGATGTGTACTTCAAGATCAGAACAAGTCTCATCGGTATAAAATGCAGCACATGCTTTAAAATTTGATGGGGTACTAAATGATGCCGGTGGTTCATGCCGATTGTTTGATTCAGATGGTCCAAAGAGAATAGCACGTGAATCATAGAGGGTTGCAGTGTACTTTACTTTTAAGGTTTCGTGAAGTCTACATAATTCATTCAGTTCTGCTTGATTGTCATATTTTCCAAAAGTAATCAATCCCAGTAACCTTCTGTGTGTTTGAAAGTCTCCCCAATCATTGTTTTCAACTGGATGTTCTCTAACAAATCTGGCAAGGATTTCTCGTGTTCCACCGGCTGAATCAACCACGGAAAATCTACTACCAGCTTTAATTATCCTTTCACATAACCTAGTAACAGTTTTCTGTTTGATCTGTGTACCGATAGGTTTTAATAGTAAAAGTAATGCTGCGTGGTCATGAGCAGTTTGCTCGTAATCAGGATGAGACATTTTATTGTCGGGCACCGGACTCGACAAGATAACACTAATCGCCGAGCGCATTTATGTCACACACTACCTAATAGTACTTTAAAGTACCCAAGTTTACATAAATGATGATAGCCTTTTTCACTTCAATGTAATTCATGTACAATAATTCTCGTATCCAATGATTTAATTTTGTATGCATCATACTATTACTTAAAATTACATTTTACTTTGATAATCTCATACTATAAAATCGCGACACAGATACTAAACTAAAACAAAACTGCCATCTTTAATACAGTCGAATGCGCATGTGCAACCGGAAGTATGCATTCTTGTATCCATCGGAAATGCAACTTACGTTTGGTCCCGTTTCAGAAGACGTGCAGAAACAAACTGGACAATGAAAGTAGGATACAGTAATTAACTCTAAGCAGGATACATCGAATAACTGGATGCAGGTGTAAATATGAATATTTCTTTACCTCTAATGGTTTATTGTAACCCTAACCAGCTAACAACATAACTTACGATTGGTAATATTGGCACATTAACAAGGGAGAAGATTATAAAACTTACTATTACCATATTTCATTTAAAACATTGATTGTATGTGACAAAATAAAAATTGTAATAACATTGGTAAACAGACTACACAAATATTTACAAGTTAAAATTCTATAGAAAAGTTTTAACATCATAGAGACTTCAGATTGCATAGCTAGTATAGCTGTAATATATAATACTATAGTAAATATTCATTATAAATTTTCATCTAATTTGTGAATAATTAATAATATAAGATTTCATAAATAATTATGTACTGATTTCATACAAACATAATAATATGGAGGTATAGTTATTCGGACAATTTCTAGAAACACTTTCATCACAAGAATGAGATAAATAATTGCTTTGCTATAATATATTGATAAATATTCAATATCGATGGGTCATGGATATTTGTGCATATTAGAAAATAAATGCATAAACGTATGCGGAAAATTTGAGACCTCAACTATTCTTATTAATTTCTTCCATAAAAAAATAGTTTATACTCGTTCTAAAGTTATCTGATGAATATTTGAACAACTGAACAACACTTACGGCTACTGTAGAGTAATTTTTCTATTATTAAAATAGTAAGATATCAAATGCAAATTTTCAGAATCTTAAAATACATGGTAGAAGTTGAGAATCTCTTCAATCAGTTCAAATACACTTACATATTTCAACTTAAACGTCTGGAACTGAATGATCCATGAACGTTTTCAATAAACCCGTATTCATTCTGGAATGAATGATTTACAGTTAGTATAACACATTTATGAAGTTAACCATACCGTTAAGAGTTAACGTACTTCTTAACCATGTGTTCGTAAATATACGATGGAACAATCGTTACGGTGATAATATTTCCGCCATTTTCAATCTCCGTCGTAATTTCCTTATCTTTTAGCCCAATAACATTCTAAAATGTCCCACATAAATATAAATTTACAAAAATCATGAATTACACTTAATGCAATTAACATTAAGTCACAAATTCATAGCGCACCTTTCCATTGATTTCTAATAACTGGTGATCCGTTAACAGTCCATTCCGAGCAGCTGAAGAATCTTTTACTAGGGCAATTATCTTTCCGTTTTTAAACTGAAATCCGATATATCCTGAGCTGTCTTTGTGCATAGTTATTGTGCGTTCGAATGGTCTGAAACGGATACAATTCCATATCAATGTTTAAAATGTAAGCAAGCGTTATACGTTTGTTTTTCAACGTTTCAAACGAGATTAATTTAACCAACCTATCGCGTATTACTACTCTGATGCCGTTAATGTCTGCATTTCGCAACATTTTGTGAACTTGTTCCATTGTGCATCCCGCGACGGAAACGTCGTTAATACTTAAAATTTGATCGCCGAATCGTAAACCAGCGAGAGCAGCTGGCGAATTTTGATTCACAAGGCATACAAAAATACCATTGTTTACAGCATGTACTCTCAAACCGATTTTACCATCTTTGTCTTTGCATAATATTAACTACGATAATAGGATAATAATGTAATATAAGAGAACCCATAAATCTTTGTAAGGCATGAATAAGTCTAGATGGACAAAATTAACTACCTCCCGTATGCCATTTGTAACCTGTGCTCTTTGTAATCCTAAAGATTGGCCAGATAATGGTGCAACCATGCCTGCTAATGGTCCTGACGTTGCAGGTATGCTAACTGTCATCTATAATGTTTAATTAATCCTCTATACTCTATACATTTCTAATCTTATGAATTACATTACATTGCATTACGTACACTTGTACGGTTCACAAGGGAGTATTCAGGCATATTTTGTGCAATTACTTCTTCTGTAAGTTCCAATCCCATGTAATCTCCTAATTGAGGATATAATATAGTAGATGGATTATATGGGGGCGCAGATGGTACATTTTGTTCTTGTAACACAGGGAAAACATTATATTGTGACTCTACTTGCAGTTGAGCCTAGAAATATAACATTTTTAAAGTAGGTGCATAATGGGATGTAGCATTTAAAATCCTACAATTGAATGTTTATGTTCTATGATCTACCTTCATCATGTGATCCACCTTCATATCCTCAAGAGTTGGATACAGAGACATTTTGTATAATCTTTCTGAAAGTATATATGTAGGTATATAGAGTATCCTTTATGAAAGTATGTTGTAGTAGCACACAACTGATTAGGTAAGAAAAATTAAACGAAGAGAGGTATAATTTTTCATTATGAGATATACCAAAGGTTTATTAGCAAGGACATAGGTACATCCCTAACATGCAAAATAAGCTGAATATTAAATGATAATGAATATGATATGAAATTTAGCCGACGGTTGTCTGCATACCAATGTGATGAATCTGCTGGACATTTAATAGAGATACTTTGTACGAACGTTTAGACCTACAAATAATTGTTAGCGTAATACCTTTTACAAACAACGAATAAACTACGACTCCTGTTTTGTAATATAAAGAATTTTGAAATCAATATTGCACTATTTTAAGTAAGAAGAAAAAAAGTCACAGGACTTAGACGTCACAGATGCTTGAAGTACTATTGATAAGCCACAAACGATAGGTAAACGATCTTGGAAGTGGGAATGGTATCTACGTCAATTCCGTTGGAACAATTAATTGATTGGTTTAGACTGCTCTGTATGATGTTTACCGCAAACAGACAATTGGTTCGATGCCCCAACCATGCGGCAATATGGCTGCCATGAGGATACTATGCACCTATCAGATGCCTTCTGATATTCTCTTGTATCCCCGCGAAATGATTTGAATTGGAAATATCATCTTAGAGAATCCGCTGTTTTTCCAATATATTTATAATGATAAGCCACATCCTAATTGTAAATTAGGTACAAGGAAGCTAAATCAAGGAGGAACATGTGAAGAAACATAAATTATTTCAATGAATTGACATTGTGCTCAAAACAGCCTTGGCATCTAAGTTGACAGTGTCTCACTGTAATTTCAACCACAGTGTTTGTTTCTTCAATCGAACGTAATTAATGTAATGGAATATTTTCCGAAGCAAATGAAACGGTTGCGGAGGAACCGGAAACCGTATACGACGCCGTGATCTGTGCGTTGCGCTTCGACTTGTTAGTTGACAAGTTAAGGAAGGAATCCAGCATGGGAGGGGTAAATAGAATACGGTGGGGGAATAGCGGGTCGTTGGTTAATACGTACTTAGGCAGTATTCAGTGGTGAGGCCTCTGTGCAGGCCGTAGTGAACCAACAGGTGTTTTGTATTCGGATTTAGCAGTACCGGTTCCGTTCATACTCTAGTGGTGCTTACACCGGTGCCTTTCACTGACGAATACACGTCTTCTATAGCCGTGGATAAATTTTCCGTAAAGGAAGCATAATATGATGTCGGAGACCGCAGTGACAATGGACGGTTCCAGCAACAACGCAAGTAACAATCCTCGACAAGTACCCACGGTGAAGACCGAACCAGGTCAACCAAACCCTCTGGCTGGCATTAGATTAAACGTACCCTACTTCAAAACCATACCTGGTATCATTAAGTTAGTACAACTGGTGAGTGTATTTCAGTTCTGGTAATACAGAGTATTAATTACACGATGATTAAAGCATTATGAATAGGTACCACGTAACGGTTACTAAAACTTCCAAATGTGATTCTTCGTCTTTTTAATGAGAGGAAGTAGACGTTTTCACGTCTAGTTTGTCTAAATCACTGTTCATTTTTTGTTCAATGTACCGGTTACCATTATCTATCGTAATTTATCTAATTTTGGCACACATTCGTCATTGTTCTTGGCGCCAAGACTCTTTTGTCTTTTATGCGCGGCATTGTTATTTTAAACGTGGGTGTTTTCGGAGCGTCGATGGTTTCGTGGCAGATTCCCCAGTAGTATTTTATTGATAGAGGCTCAAGTGTTCCGTTCTACTTCCAATTTTTACTAACATTCACTGGGCAACGTACAATGTTTCTTCTTCTTCTTCTTCTTCTTCAGAAGAAGAAGAAGGCACATACGTGTATGTAGTTACAGATTGCACGGTCTGTACACCGTGACGTTGAACCTGCTTGCAAGGGCATAACCATGTAACGGTATTCTCCTTACGGAACTGTTAAAATGTGTTCTTGGGATGCAATAAGGGCAGCTTCAACTAACTACTCAGTACGAATTTGTGAGACACGTCGCGTTAATATTCTGACAATTCATTATTAACGACACTTCATGGTCTCGCTGCCTCTAGAGTAACGTTGCTCATCGAAACCGGAAGATACCGTTAGCTGATCAGCATCAGCAAGCATCGTTTCTCTTTGGTTCACGCACGTGCAGTCAGAGACACGCCCGACTACGTTTCTTCGTCTATTAGCCGTAAATAAAGTGGTCATTACTTTCGATCGATAGAAGTAGGTAACAGTATGTATCGATTCGACTAGGCGTAGTTAAGTAAAAGGATGTATGTTTTCACTGTTTCGTGCCGTTCATATTTGGTAAGTTATAGGAATCAAACACATATTGGAAACCCACGAATGAAACTACGCATTACAAATAAAATTAAATCGCGTATCAGCCACATTAAATTATGTATACACTACTTTACTCTCGTAATAAAACATCACATTTTTATAGAGAAATATGCTGTTTCCATAAATCATTTTCCAATAAAGAGAACGCACGAGTACGATACTAAAGATTACCGCGCGTAGAACAATCTAACCACGAAGTAGCGGTCTCCTGGTGGGCAAAAATAGGAAAACGTATGCGTGACCAATCGTAATGGTGACTTTGCAATAACCCGATTAAATTACATACAGATGGAAATCAAATACACGTGTTTCATAAAACGTTTGTTTTCTTCTCGAAACCCGATGTTTCGACGCAATCTATGTATTTGCATGCCACACGAGAAGCACCAGGGATATCGTACGTTTCGGCCTCGACGCGTTAATAAATCTGTAAAACAAATTAAACCGCCTGTACCAAGTTATTAGCTACGATGGCGAAATCATGGAATGGACAAGATACATTCTTACGACACCATAATCCGAATTTCTTCGTCTACCGACGATATTAATGATACGGAAGAACCGGTTTTCACTAAGGACGATCATCGTACCCGATTGACCAAAAAGCTGAAACGATTCTTGGTGTCGATGTCGTCGGTGGCGTAGTTTCGATACACTCGGACTGGCTATGAACTAGACACGCGTTCGATGCCCATACATGTTCATCCCGATGACCGGGACCATACGTGGCGTCCCACATACTCGGAGTTCCATCCTACCGACATACGCCGAGGCCGCGGCAACGGTATCGAAACGTCTCATTAAGGATTCAAAGTGTCCTTGACCTCTCACCAATGATTTTCGATCTCTGCATACCCAATTTACCGCTATCGTCTATCCATGTGTATAAATTCAAACGTTTCTCCTAAACGTTCGTATCACGCTTAGAGCGTTAAAGCGTTTCTTATTATCGCTGTACCCATATCCGAGGAAATATCAGTTTTATCTCAACCTTATCTAAACGACAAAGAATGTTTGCAATTTCGGATGCGTTACACAATTTTAACCGTTCGAACCAAAGTTCCTAATGGTTATCAGTGATTTATTTAACGACTGTACAATCGCGTACAGCCAATCGCACAATAATCCAGCTAGCACAATACGACTGCTATGTATCGTGTCCCTCTCACGCGCGTCATATTTATTCCCGTCTAGATACATACCTATGTACATATGTATACCCCATGAAGGTTTAGTTTTATGTTACGTACATAGCACACGAACAAAATTAATCTAACATTTTTCAAGGTCGTCGATGCTCTAGAGTCTAGATTATAGACTCTGCAAAACCTCCAAGTATTCGTAAAGTATTTCTTTAATGAAACACAAGTGTGAAATGCTCGTGAATCGTTTCGTTTAGCGATGATAAATAAGACGACACCTTTACAGTACTCTTTTCCCTCTCTTCCTGCTCGGTCAGGAAGTCGACACGTGCCCGTTCGGTTTTTTTATAAGGTTGTCTTTTCTACGCAGAGCCACTCGTTAGAAATGGATTATACTTAATGACTCGAATATCACTTGCACATCATTATTATACCCGAGCATAAATAAGGCATCATATTTACTACATGTTGATGTTCATTTCGGTCAAGGTAAACCGCCCATCGTTTTTCTCAGACTAACAATAGTCTTCTATTAACTGTGAGAAGGATACATGTGAAAAGTCCGCGCCTTCTTAACCAGTTAAGTGTGTTTGACGTGTATACACGTCGAACCAAATCTTTATTACGGTGCGTTCGACGTGTATACACGTCATAGCCTGATTTTAATTCCGCACACGGTGGAGGGTTTTTAAAACTAAATTCCACGCTTAACTGGTTAATGTTTCAACGCACTCAAGTAGATTTGCACTGATATGAAGCGCAATCATTCGAAGATAAACATTTCCGAAAAGTTTATCAGACGAGCGCTAATTCGGTAAAAACATTCAAAAACAGTCGCTTCGAATTCGCAACTGAAGAGGAGACTCAAGGAAATTTTACTTAGTTACACTAGACGAAACGAATGGCTCGAGAAATTGCGTAAAATCGAATATTACGAGCGTTTCCCGCGCGTAGCTGTGCCATGCGTTCTTATGGTGTGTAGGCTGGCCACGAAGCATATCGGCTGGTGCAACAAGTTATATGCACCGTACTTAATTGCACGCAAGCATTTTATAAGCAAGGACAAACCGCGCCTCGTACCGCGGGTTACCGGCAGTATATTCAAGTCTATACTTTCAGGTCAAAAGAAAGATCTGTCTGAATTCGCTACTAGATTAGATTAGATCACGTCGAACAGTTATTGAATCGATCAATCGTTGGCGATCGTTGATCGGATGAGTTTCGTCGTAGGTAGATCGTTGTATGAGGAAATGGCAAATTAATCAACTTTGGTCTTTGCCTTCTCCTCGCGGAATGACGCTAATGAATAATAAAGGATGTTACATCGGACATCAAAATATAATACGTATGTATGTATATACGTTATACTTGTTATGAATGATCGTTGGGTTACGTTGCGTCGACGAAACGCAAACAATAATATATGATGATTCATAACAGAAGTCCCTGAATAGTGACTGAATATGTATATGCATTTTGATGCTATGTCACAGTTGTCAATAATTGAAGTCTGTCGGTCGTATTGAAACTAAGGAATGTTATAACGCTATGCTTTCGTACGTTCACGTACAACTAATGAAATACCAACCTCTGTACCCTTATTTAACGCGATTTACATTGCTAACTACGTAGTTATTTCTATAACAGGCATATATTATCGCTACTGCACGAGTATGATAGCGTGCGTTGACTTGGTCGAACTGTAAATCAGAGAATTGCAAAAATTGATTTACAGATATGACGGCAAGGATCTCCTTAAAGAAATTACAACACGTCACAAGATAGCGTAAATCCTGGCAGTTTGCCAATCCTTGCCGAACGAAACGTTTCGATTTACCCGAGTCGATCGATGTTAGTCAGACGGTTTCGTGATTCGTGGTTTAAAGCGATTTTGTTATCGATGAGAAATCGCCAAATTATTTCGTTCGTAGAAGTCTGTCCGGCTGTGAACACTCGAACCGCGGAAAGCGTTAAGTTCACAGATAAAACGCGACGGGTCGATTATAAAAGTAGTATTTTCGGAATGTTAAGATAAAATCAGACGGTGTACGAGTCACCGCTGCTTTAGGAGTGTACTTACGTCACCGACTCGACATAACTCTGACATAATGTAGGTACACCGTCTCGCGGAATTTCGAAAAATCGTTAATTTATAAACGTTAAATCACAAAGGATCTTTCTCAATTCGAATCAATTGGTTAAGTAGCGTCGCGAAACTGAATATAACTGCATAAGTTATCAGCGTAGGTTGTAACCGGTAGCCACTTAGTAACGGCGTATAAATGGCGGATGTGGGTCGTACGGTTTCTCCTCGAGTTACATCTTATCTGTACTCGGTGTTTAGATATTTGTTAATTATCTCAACTTGAGCCATCTAAGCGATTTTTTCACGTAGGCACGCAGTCCTACTCTTGTTACTGTTTCTGCCAACTGTTGCCCACGGTGTATCTCTCACATGTGAAACATCATCTATATTCTCTTTCGTTAATATTTAAACGAAAGCACGATTATCCTCTATCATAGTAACAGAAAAAAAATCGTATATATATAATAGCTCCTTAAGTAAGTACTTTAATAATTCCTTCACTCTGTTCTGTACTCGCGCGATAAACTGATCTGACCCTTGGCGATAGTCTAGCTGGAAATCTGTTCGGCGTGATGCTCCAATGAATTCAGCTTTTTCCCGTTCGCCAAACACCATGATCGACGATGAAACCCGTCTTTCAAACAGTTCTCGCTAATTTTAGACGTGATTCCATTTTCCCGAAACATCATCCGATCGCCGATATTGTCGCATAAATATCGTTGGAACGATTCCCGATATTCTGTAATCGCGAAAGTGAACGTAAAATCAAGCCGTTCCCGTTGAAACTTCGACGCGCTCGATACGATCTGTTGTGTTTTTCACTTGGCTGCTCATCAGTTTCACATTTATGAAGCTTAAGTGAATGGATTAGGATGTGTTCTCGGCTGCCGGCATTATTACGATCGTTAATGCGATGCTGGCGATGCGTATATATACGTATGTCGGAAGCGGCGCATTGGTGCGACATTCAGCAGCACAAACCATCCCTCTTCCCCCTCTCCCACCCCCCCATGAATAATGCAGATCGTCGACCTATATTTTCGAGCAGGTATTTATCTTCCATAAAGTTATTTTAAGAGCCACGGCTATTGCGTTTCGCGAATCGGCTTACCAGCGTACGCGCGTTCGAAACAATTTTCCGGTCGAAACAATTACAACGTGTCTGGTGAGGATTTCTATTTTCTACTAGTCGAGTGCGTAGATTTAGCAAGGCGACACTCGCGCTTCGACGCTCCATTCTCGAAAGGTCGATGGATGAGCTATTTCTATACGATAAACAGAATAACAAAAAACGAAATTACGTTCTAAGGTAAATCCTGTAATACGTTTATAAACCGTACCTAAAAACTACGCTATTTCTTATTTGAATCTCATCTGTGGAAGCACTGCTATATATGCACATTAATAATTTTATACCACGCCGCGCGAGAGCTATCAGTACCAGGAATTCTTAGTTAAACATTTGTCGCGGTCGACGACGTTTCCAAACGGTGAAAGTAAAATTCTTCCTTCGGTGCACGGTTTCAGCGTTCCAATCCTTCGCACTTTCGCGCCCGTTCACCCCTCTATGCATTCCTATCTCCTATACGATGTACCTACGTCATGCATAATGTCGGGAAACGTAATCTGAACTATGATATATTAGGTAGGAATTATTAAATACATTTTATAGTAAGTTTGACTATTGCGTTCCCTTTCTACATTAAAGATTACGTGAAACGAAAACGGTTTCCAAGATACACGGATGTTTGATCGATGTTCTGGAGCGGAAGACTGATCGAATTGCCGTCTCGCGCGTTACCAAAGTAAACCAAAGATGCCGAGGAAGGGGGTTAAGTGCCCGTCAGGCTGGACGCTGCTCGACGAAAATATCGAAAATGTGGAACGCGTGAGGCTCGATCTCGAGTCACAGCGAGAATTGGGTTGTGTGGTCGGTGTACACGTGTTCCTGGAATACCCCTGGGCGTACGTGAACAGAGATATTGTCGTGAGATGCGCTAGACTAACGGCGTCGCCGCTGGCAGCGTTTAAGAAAAACATCGAAGCCTACGAAGCTGAGACGTTCTTGATAGGCTATTCCTCCGATCGACTAGCCTCCGAGAATTTTGTGATCTGTCTCACCGAACAAGCAAAGCGCATTGTCGTAAAACGAAACAGGAACATCGCGAAAATGATTTTGAACAAGGTTCTTGGTAAGGTAAGAAAAACTGTGAAACCATGGAAGCTGTTGGGCAGCGAATCGGAAGTGGATGAAAGCTTCGCGAGAGACACGAGGCAATTGTTTGAAATAGAAATCGAAGTACCTGGTAGATCGTTGTTTTCCGCAAGAAAATTATCCGACAGAGGTTCGAACGATTCTAAAGACAGCTACGTGGAACTTGTAAACGCAAACGAGGAGTTTCGAAACGTCGAGAAAAAGTGCATCTCACGACCTGTTCAGACTCATTTGCAACCTCGCGAGACGTTCGTTCAAACGTATCGTGGATATCTGAGGAATGCCTGGACGCAGTACGCGTACGTGGATACGTTGCACGGCGAGTTTCTCGATCGACATCTCGCGGAAGGAAACGTCGAGTCGAAAGAGGAATCCGAACAAAATGACGACCAACGATCCAAAGGGAAAAGCGACGTACAGGAGAGCGAGTGCAACGACGAACCCAGAGAAAAAACACCGCTGGATTTATTTCTAGAGGCTCGTTCGCTCGAAACAATCGATACCGTTAAATACAACGCAGCCGTCAACTTGCATATAGACGACATTGAAAATTTGTTTCGATCAGAACCGAAAATTCAAGTGTTCTCCGATACACCGATTTTTCGCGAACCGTTGTCCTTCGTAGACCTGAATTTTACAAGGAATGAAGCAGTTTCCGATATTTCATTGCATCAAAAGTCAACAGACTACGTCGCGATTTCGTACGTTACCGGTCCGACTCGATCTCCCGCGGAAAAGAAACTCACGACTGGTCAGGAATTTCGATCCGTCGTACTTGTTTGGAAATTCGACGATCCACTAGTTCCTTGGCTTCGACTTCAAGACCACAGAGAAATTTCATCCGTATCTTTTTGCCCGTACGACGACAGGTTCGTGATCGGTGGCTGTTCTAGCGGTCGTGTGGTTATTTGGGACATCAAAGACCATCTGACCGACGGTCGCGACGATAAGAATATAAATGTTCCACTCGCAAGGAAAGAAAATCGGCCAGTGGTCCGTGGTACGATCGTTTCGGATAAAAATTATTCCCATCATCTTGCGGTGCGAAGGATCCAATGGATGCCTGCCAACTACAGAATAGAGCCAAATGGAAAGTTGAGAAAATCATCGATTTCCAGTGAGGCACAATTTCTAACTGCTTCGGAAGATGGCACGGTTGCAGTTTGGAATCTCTCCACGCTTTCAGGTGTCCCGAGTGTCGACGATGACAATTCCGATACGGCTCTACAACCGATTCTTCGTTTCAGAATCGGGGTTTCTAACGAGATACCGCGGAATTTTCTGTTGTTATGCTTGTGCCTTCCGTCGATAGGCATTCTCCAGGAACGTAATGCAAATCATCGTGAAACGCACGAACTGAATTCCAATGAAAAATACTATGCAAAGTGTCTGTGGATCGGTTGCGCGGAAGGATTGATAAAGTGCACGTGGGACGAACAGATATTCGACGGGGAAACATTAAATACCGTTCAGTGCAAGCTCTTGAATCGTTCGTACGTACATGACGGTCCTGTTACGGATATTATACGATCACCACATATTCAAGATGTTTTTCTGACAATCGGTGGACACGTTTTCGCGATCTGGAAGGACGATTATCTGGATTCCCCTTTATTTTGGAGGAGGACTTGTCGCCGATACACGGCCTGTTGCTGGGCCAGTGAACCCGGTGTTTTTTTACTTGGCAACAATTACGGCGAACTTGAACTCTGGGATATAAAGAACGAGTCGAGCGAGCCGATCTCTTCTCAGAGCGTATCCTCGAAATCTATTACACGTTTGATTTCGTTCGATCGTTCCATTGACAGTGAAAGTGTCAAGATGATCGGCGTAGGCGACGAGGCGGGATTTTTTCGGGCTTTCCGAGAACGTGATCCTGTTCGTATCGATGAAACGGTTCAGAGGATGGACTGGTTCGAGGAATACGTATGGAGAGAAGCGCGACGAAAGAAAGTCTTCTCTAGCTGGCAAAACGATTTTCTACGCAACGATCCGGCTGCCATAGCGAAAATATCCGCCAGGCGTGGCGAAGAACGTAAAAAGGAACTGGAAGAAGCGAGGGCAAAACTTCGGAAAGAGGAAGAAGAGAGGTCGAAATCAAAAGCGGAAAAGAGTGCTCGCGGTGTTCCGAAATCCAAACACGTCGCCTGGATATCGAAGGAATACGAAAGAACAAAACAGGTTCTTTTGAAGAAGAAGAACTTGGATCCAGCCGATTTAGAAGCAAAGAGGCTTCCTCTCGTTGTCGCGCAAATGGAAAGGAATGCAAAACTAAAAAGAGTTCAAGATACTATTGATCTACAGGAAACCTATTTCTCAGAGGCGTTAGCCGTACAATTATCGGAGTCACTTGTCGAATCGAAGAACAGTCGACCGACAGCGCAGCTTAAAAGATCCACCGATGGACACGCGACGAAATCTTTCAAAATACGGGCTAAACTTTTCGAAATGCTAGCAAAGAATTCGGTCACCAGAAAATCATAATGTAAATTAATCAATGCAATAGGAATTACCCTCTAATTTTCTTGACCAGTTACGGCTGGTCAACTCGAGTAGTAAGTAACAACGTTGTCAACTATTCGCGAACTATATGCTTAAACATGTATTTGAAATGTTGCAGGGTCTTGGGATAATATGCATGTCGTGTGCATCCCCGGCGCACGTAGGTGCAAGCCACTGGTTTCTGTTTGTCGCCGTGACGGCTTTCATCGCTAGCCTCTTGTGGTGTTTCGTGTATTTGTTGTCGATTCGAGAGGCATTGAAACTACCGATCAACTGGATTATGACGGTAAGTGAATAATTTAAGGCGTACGATAATTGTTGTAACGAAGAACGATCTAATACTCATTGACAATATAAACTTGCTATTTGCAGGAACTACTAAACACGTCAGTGTTCGCCTTTCTGTACATGATTGGTTTCATTGCTCAACTGTCCGTGTGGAGTGCGATATCCAGTTCTTTTACCGCATCGAATATTGCTGCCGGGGTAAGTGGGGACACGAGTCATCGTTTGACCAATCCTAAACGATACTTTACCGTCATTAAACATTTCTTTGCTATTTGCCCCCACAGATATTCGGAATCTTTAACACAGTCGCTTACGCTGCCGGCGCGTACTTCCTGTACATCGAATGGAAAAGCAGTACCACGCAGTGAAGAAAACCAAAGGTACACGAAGAGGCATCGGGTACCTGAAAAGAGCATCTATGACCAGGCTGCTACACCAGAGTTCTACCGAGCCCTCCAATGATCGATTAACAACCAGGACATGATCTTCAAGAACCACAGAACCTATCGAAATCGATGAGCCGAAGCTAGTCCAACGAGACCCCTTTCGAATCGTGTGTCGTAGCTTGACCAGAGACTCTGTAATCTATGTGCCTTACGATTAGTTCACAATGTTGCGAATTTCGATCGCTCTCGCCGCCGTCTTGAAAATCGCACGATCTCGAATCGCGCGTAAACACGTTCGTAACCCGTTGAAACTGTGTCTGGACGACTACGAGGGCGTTGAACTATTAAAACGTGCAGCCAGCCAAGAGTTTTACGCCGGTCTAGGACGGGTTTTCGCGCTAAAGTGATACCGACGACACCACGGCTTATCGTGTCAATGGATTTCCTGGATTCTCAAAGCCGCCGCGTGATTCAACCACGTCTCTATGCGGATAGTTGCGATTAGCGTGAATTTTCGCGACGACTGTCCCGCCTAGAATCGCGTTGCAAGATCGACAATATCCATATTGGATGCGAACCTTCCCGTCTGCTTATCGCGAATATCAACTTATCAATTGCGTGTACACTACCAGTCGTTCATTACGCATACCTCGTGCGCCACTTACACCCGTCCAGTTCACTTTTCTAAGCGTACTTATTTCACACTGTCGCGATCTTTCACTCATACGCAAAGGGCACTTGTGTAATTCGCGTTCGTTATTGCATACATACGTAAAAGAAGACAGTTCGTTACTAGGCAAATGAATGTATGCAAGTATGTACATTGTATTCTTTTCTGTACACATTACCATTAAAGTACACGATCATTTCTAACTTTATTAAAAGTTGTTTGTTTCGTTCGATTTGTTTCAGACCATTCTCATGATAATCCTCTCCGCGTATCCCCTCCTCCCATTGATAACCTTGATTTCTCAGAGTCCCTAAGGATACAGTAGCTTTCCTTGCAACAAGCAAAAATTTGGTCGTTTGTTGCAGTGAACGCTTAATTCTTTGTAGGAAGAAAATTAACGTCTACTAGATGAATATGCACATTACGCGATGTATTAGGTACAAGGTATATATGTTACGAAAACTTTACGGTATCAAATTTACCCCGCATTTGATGAAAGCCACCAGGTTCTCGATCGTTTTATTCGCGCAGACGTTCTTTGCTTAAAAAGTGTGGTCGCTTATGATATCACCAGTGACGTCGTTCATGGTAGCGCGTTGGTAACGCAGCGTGCACTTCAGTCAACTTCAGTCAATCGCAGACGCTCGCCGCGATACCAGCTACCTCATTAAGGTCAGTTCAAGTCTTGCGTATATACCGCCTACTTTTCCCAGTATTCCGTCCGATCGTAATATTATTATGTATCATGTATCACGGGTATACCATGAATGATTGTACTCGATACGCGAGATAATTCTTTCGCTGGATATTTTGCTTGATAAAATATTTCATCGTTAATTCTATTTGACACAACGAACGCAGCTGCGCAGATATCTCACGATGACAAATACTTTCATTAAGTATAATTCCACACACAGATAAAATCATTAATAATAAAAGGCTCGCGAGTAAGTATAAACAGATTACACGTTCGTATTACGAATGATTTTTTCGGTGGAAGCATCGTGTCGTAAGTGTAGGTGTTCTGTCATTTAAAAATAACCGGTGACGGCACGTGTTTATTCAATGATGCGCTAATTTGGGAATGTCCACGATACAGGAACGAGAAAAAGTGATTTTCTAGATCAGCGATCAATCGTAAAATTATGGGTTTTTTAAAGAAGTATTCAAATATAATCTGTTGTAAAGTGTTTACTTTATTACTTACTACCGGCGTACGCGCCGGTTAGTAGTAGAAAGCGGTTCCTGAACTCATGGGCGTGTTATCGATCGGCAGAAAGGTTTAGGGTTGTGCCGAAACAAATGGAACGAAAGCGAAAGCGTAGGCGAAAACGAAAGCGTGCAGCTGTTCTTTCACCCTCGTCGTACAATACCGTACTTGTACATATATGTATACGTAATCCTAATTTTACGAATTAATTTCGTTAAATTATCATTATATGTACATACATATGTTTCGAGTAAACGAAACGCGAGACAACATGCTATTTTTGCGTATCAAGAAAGGAAAGAGGACGGATGTTTGCGAAACACAAGAGACGTGACTCGAAATCTCGGCCTTGGCCCTCTTATGCTGTCCACGAAACTCTCATCCGCGCGCGCTGGAGTTGATGATGACGATTCAGACTGTGTTGATTCATGTGACCCCGCTACATTGAAATTTCAGAATCGGCAACGAAGGAACCGACAATGTCGCACTCGGTAACTATAAGAACGCAAACCGTGACGAACAACTCGACGGCAGTCATCATCAACACCGGCTACTTGAAAACGTGGACCGGTCTCATAAAGTTGCTGCAAGTGGTAAGCTTTCTATTGACTGACATTTAAGGTGGCTCACGCAAATTATTAATAATTATAAATTTACTTGAAAATTTAACAGAACATTCTTGAAATCTTCAACTTTCGATTGCTACCAAAAAATTGCAAAGCAAACGATAAAATTCTCGAAAAAGAAACTTTATAAAAATGCCTTTTCAACACGAGCCTTATGGAACTGTAGTCGATACTGAGAAGTTAATCATTTTTTATTCTGTTATAAAAAATGGCATTTTCAAACCTCAAAAAGGGAGGATTCGTAACTACATACTTGTATTTTTGTTTTAGGCGCTGGGAATCGTTTGTGTAACTATAATCGGTCAACGATTCACCGCGACCCAGTATCATGTCGCGGCTGAATTATTTTTCGCTCTAATAACGACAACATTTTTGATCGGTACATGTATTCTGATCCTAAGCTGTTTGGCTTCCCACTCGGCACCCACTATTATTGGGAAAACCATATACGTAAGTTTTAAACAAGTCTTTGACTAGTTCAAAGTGGTTATGATTCACCAGGTATTAACAATTGCATCTTCCCCGTAGGACCTTATGTATCACTCGATAGCGTTTGGACTGTATCTAGCCGCTTCGTTAACGTTTCTCGTGCATGTTTCCAATAACAGAGGAAGCGATATTTTATTGGCTGGAGCGGTAAGTTCAAAGACTACAGTGGTCCCCGCTTATTTGACGCAGTATTACCCCTATCAATTCCTGGAACTATTTCCATAGAGCTAGCGTCCACATTATCTGTGTCACAGATTGTAAAACAGCTGTTTCAACCTTTCTCTGAATTTCACTCGAACCCAATCTTTTCACTCTCGTCGCGACGTGCTTGGGAAGCAAGCGAATCCAAGAGAGATAACAACCCGTAATTCCTAAAACATCTATCTCCCTTGATAACTGTTGCAACGCGGACTTGAACCTGCGACAATTAAGCGGGGACTACTGTATTTGCTTTTTTTTCGAGAGCTGACCAAACTCTGTGCTCACAATGACGTATTAATTCATTCTTTGTCTAGATCTGCGGTCTGGTGAACGCGGCACTATATCTACTCAACACGATCATTGCCGTGCGTAATTACAGAGGAATTTGAAGACACAGTTCCGACGTTCACAAACAGTCTTCACACCTCTGTCTCCCTTTCAATCATACCCTCGTTTCATAGAATGTAAACCGTTCGATGTTTCAGCTACGGTTTGTACGATGTGGCAAGAAATTCTCAAAATCTCGCACAAGTACAAAAACAATTCATTATACTTCGACCGCGTGTAATCGTACGCAAAAACGCGAAACAATTTACGCTTAAGATTACGCTGCAAGAGACCGTAACTATGTATGTGTTCAAACGATAACAACGTGTACACATCTTAACGCGTTATCTACGTTGCGCCCATAAACTACTACACCTACGGACGGGCATTTGATACTTTATACAGGTTTTATTTTTTAATTATATTTATACACAGTATACCTATACGCGTATACGTATATATACACACACATACGCACAAGGTGTTCGGCTACTGGTATCAGAAACTTTAACGGGCGATTCTACGCGTCAGAATAAAACGAAAAACAAGAATGACGGAATTTTGTAACGCCGGCACATACACTGTCGTTGTGTAAGAAATAAACACTTTTACCTGATAGCTAAAAAACTGATGTGTAACACCTCCACTCGCGTCTGTCTCATAGAAACGCACACACGAATCATTACACGATATTAAACCCGGTTACTCGATCTATTCCATAAGAGAAACTACGGTACACACACGCGCAGAATAAATATTAAACAAAATAGCGTAAAATATACCAGAAATTACTATAATAAACAAATTTGAATTAATACTACAAAAGAATTCAAGGGTTACTTTACGTTGCCTAGATGTGTTCGCGTTCACGTCTACCACCGAACTAAAGAAACCGGTACTCGAATCCTCCGCAAAGGTCAGAAAAGTAACACAAAATATTTAAACAGCGAGGAGATATCGTACTACCTGGCCTTCGGTAGGGTCGCTAACGGTCGCGAAATGACCTGCAGATATTATGATTGGCAACAAAGGAAATGTACGTCACGTATATTCTGCTATAACTGAAAACTAAGGGCGTATTTTTCTCAGAGGACACGTGTACGCACTGTGACTGTTGTATGCAAATTAGCCTGGTTTCAGGCATTCCCAATCCCACTATTTGATTGTTAATATCTATGACACCAGTAGCTGACCATTCTATATATTTATTATACGTATACGCTATATTTATGATAAACAAGCTACTGGAATAAACAGTATTCTGTCCTACGTTAATCGAATGTTTATAAAACATGAACCTAATAATTGTACCGAATACGAGGGAAAGCTTCCTCACTTTTTATGCATGGCGATGATGAACCGACGATGTGATTGCTAGTCAAAAATATATTTGCGCGTTACATCCATCAAAAAGGCGGTTCCGTTTCGCACGGCCATTGACAGGACGCGAAGCCGCACGTAACCGCATATGCGGAATGAGTTTCAATAAAGCTGCACAAAGAGAGAGAAAGAAAGGACAGGATATTGCGGTGCGACGCGCAACGTGAGCAATTAAATTATGCACAGGAACGTACGGATATGGCGCACGTTTCACGACCTAACCCGAAATCGATGAGCATCCGATTAAATCCCTCTGTCAGGATCTACATTTTCCATCCTGCATCTGTTCTGAATCGTCACCGTTGATTTTTTTTTTGTTGTTTCCTGTGACAGTACAGCTGGCTGAATATATGTATATACATATGTACACGTATGTTCTGGCGCGGCACGTGCCCGAAATAGACGTCGGTATCCCTTGCGTCTGGTCCAACGCGTGGGGTGCAACGGCATTTTAACTTTCAGTATCAATTGCCAAGTCACCCTCAGTTTGCTGGAAAGCTCTCGCGAAGCCGGTTCGTTTGTCTCCGTGTTAAACAAGACTAGCCTCTTTCACCCTGCCATAGACACGAGGGCAATCTGTGTGCCGCAAGAACGAGACACAAATCTCGAATTAATCGCCGTTTAACCAATTAGGGCCGTCGAATCAATGATCCAGGCGTAGACGAGAAAGAGAGAGAGAGTTCAATGAACTTATCAATTGCGTCGATCCAAGGTTCGAAGGGTCACTTTCGCGAAATCGTTGACTAATCCATTGACAGTTACCATCCCAGAAGATAAGTCCCTTTGAAGGGGAGAAGATGGGCAGAAATGGAGCAGGACCGGTGATCAGAATGTCGTCTGGCACTCATGCCTCCGGAGGTGTAGAATGTTGCTTCTGCAGATGTTGCACGTGCATACACCTGGAGTTCCTGAAGACTATGCCTGGAATTTTAAAGCTATGCGAAACGGTACGTTTGGCGGTCTACAAAAACTGTTTTACGAAGTAACCCGCTAACGATGATGTCGACGATCGTGACCGTATGTGTGTGTGTGTGCATTTTCAGATAATCAGTGGCTTGATACAGAGTCTGCTAATTAATTACGGTTTGAGATACAGTACAACGATTGGCTCGGCTTTCGAAGGGGCTTTGACCACGTCTTCCGCTTGTTTCTTAACGTCGTCGGTGTTGCTCGCCTGCTACGTCGTGTCGGAAAAGTCTTACAAACTGATCAGATCGTCTCTCTTCGTATGTAGACCCGAACACGTTATAATCTTGATCGATGTTCATCCAACCCTCTTATTCATTCGCTCGTTAATCATTTCAGGAAATGATGTTCAATGCTTTAGCCTCGTTCCTGTACTTGAGCTCGGCCTCCTATTTGGCATTCTCCACGAAGGTGTTCCTCCTACCAGAATATTACATAAGACCAGGATTCGATGTTTATCCTGCGATGACAGCGGCTTACGTACGTATAACTTGCACCTCCAAGTTCCTCCTTTCGATCGTGCAATCACCTCTTTATAATTATTCTTGTATCTTCGCAGATGATGAGTGGCTTCGTTGGAGTGCTACACGGTGCAGACGCCTATTTTTCTTACGTGCATCACAGAAGTGCACGTTGAGCCAGGCCGATAATTTGGTTTACAAATTGTCGATCGGGTCGAAGGAAGAACCGAAACCGTACTCGTTCTTCATCTTCGACGTTCTTATTTTGATATTCATGTACAGTATTTCATATTTATTTCAGTAATAAAACACGCGAAAAACGTATACCGTATCGAGCGTATTATAGAATTTTGCGGAAGACTGTACGAAAAACCGTGCAGATCGTTTCAATGCGTACCAGGTTATACCTACCATACGTGGTTCCCGGACAGTGAATGGAAGTTACACGTCGGTCCTCACGGACTCTCCGATGGAGACCGTGAGGTTTCTCTTTCCTCTCTGCCCCGCCATTGCCTCTTCCCGCGATCCGTGAAGCGTAGCTGCCCTCTCTTTCTTCCACTTTCGGTTCTTGACTATATTCCTCCTTGTTCCGTGCGCTCGCTCGTTCGGTTTCCGTTGCTCTCGTAGAGGCCTCACCGAGCATATCGCATGACTCGAGGCATGTGGTCGACAGTTTACTTTGGGATCTCGAACCGGTCGATTCGCGGACGATTTTCGAGGCGTTCCTCGCGAGCAAGGTAAACTAACGAACACAGGAATATGGGCCTACGGATCAGAAGCGTCAACGGTAGTCTTGGACTCGCCTCGTCGATCGAAGGTAATTTTTCTTTGTCCAGTGATTTCTAATCGCGACATCTGTCGTGGAGCGATTCTTGACACAGGGGAATCGCCTGTGATGTATCGTTGCAACCCCCTTGCGCGTCCGTTGCCTCGGGAGTATTAGACGAAACTCAACAGGTGCGAACCGTGTCGTGCCTTCTTTCGCTTCCCGTCGTGTATATGTACTTGCATCGTTTCGCTGAAACCATCGATTGCGAGAACAGTTCGATTTCTCGCATTATTGCGGAACCAGGGGACAAAAAACGATATCGTTACTTTCTCTGGTACCTATGCGGTCGCAACTATACCATTTCACTTTTGCTACAAAGTTGGTCCGATTTGCGGGAAAGAATGGAGCGTGTTTCAGAGACGAGCTCCGATTAAAGTCACGTATTTGCAGTCGTATAACGGAACGAGCACGGTAAGGTAATTAAATTCCGGGAACCAGAGCATTGCTAATATTTGTTCGTGGCAAACAAAAGAAAATAATCACGGAACAGGAAACTCGGGACGTTGTCGGGTCAGTAGAAACACGAAAAGCAACTGATACAACAAGTGTGGTTGTAAAATATCCTTCTGTAATAACACTCTTATATCGATTGCTCGAGGTGACTGCCAATCGAAATACTTCGCGAGATACTCATTGTCTTAGACCCGTGGTGTCGGTTCACCCCGGATCGAACGCATCTCTTGGAAAAATACGGGAAATACTCAACGTTTACTCTTCGATAAACTGTCGTCGCTTTAGCAATGATTTAAGTATCGAACGTATTTATAGTTAGACAGCAATTGCTGAGGGAAAAAAGAATACGCACATGTACCTATGTGTATACCGATGATGAGATACCGACGTCGAATACGCCTCTCGTGTAGAATAACCGATTGTCGGAAATCGCGGGGCGTTGCACAGGGGAGTAGCCTTTCTCTGGAAAGACCATTTCAGGACAGAAAATGCATTTGGTTAGAAACTGGTGCAGCTACTTTTTTTATTCGATGGACGCTTTACTGTTCTACCAGAGCGTAAACCTTTAACACCGTCTCGTGTGACAAGCAGGCTCGTATGAACGTCAGATGAGCCTTCAGAGTTTCGAATGAAAGGCCAGTCGGGTTGTCTCGAGGAATTTTCTTGGACGTCCAGGCGCAACAGGTCCTTGGCGTTACGTCAGCCGCGCACGTTCTTCAGCAACGCACGTCTGGTGCAGCACAATGAGCGTTTTGTGATCGATCGATCTCTTTTGGCAGTAGTAACAGTCTTCTGGTGTTAACCGATTATTGATAAAATCCCTCTGAGATTCTAACGAGTTGGGGGATGGACGTTGGTTGAGAATGGTTCTGAAAGTATGCATTTTCGATTCTTCGCCCAATTGTTTCGTTCTTCGTAAAGATTCCAGGTGCTTTCTCTTCCTGTTCCGTCAACGCTGGCGTACGTGCCCCGAAGAACACTACTCTCATAGGTTCTTCGAAGAAGGGAAGTCGAGCGATGACGTCAATCGAACTCGAAGACCAAATTATTCGTGTTCACACTCATCATACCGATGACACGTCCACCGTGTCGAATCCATCCACGTCAGCGTTACTTTTTCGGACGCTTGCATCGCGGAAATGCAGTTCCGTGACATGGTTCGGTCGTCGACCGTATCGTGGTTTTACGTAACTGGAGCATTTATGAGGATGGAATTGTTTCGTTGTTGCGGCAACGATTATTTTGTAGTTTCTTTTTTCGCAGGTAATTAAAGTTACGATCGTTTCAGAGGAAGTGTCGTGGTCAACGACCGAATCACCATTTACTCCCGAAGAAGAAGACGCGATAGTGACGCTGGTTGTGGTCGTGATCGGTATCATCGTGGCCATAGTGGTACTCTTCTCGATGGGGATATTTATCGACTGCAAACACCAGTAAGCGTTTCGCTTGTCGGAAACTCGAATAGAAGAACCACAAAAAGATTTACGATCGATCGCGATCGTTTTGTTTTTTTTTTTCCAGGAAGAAGGATGCTTTGAAGAAGAAGAAGCTAAAATTGCGAATGCCACCGATATCTCGTGCAAAGAAAATAGGAAAAGACGACGTGAAATGTTTTGCCTCGGATATGTGTCCGAACGGTGCCAGCGATGCTGGATTTCAAACGAGGGATGTCATCGTTTGACGATCCTGTCTGTTTTTATCCTGGAATATCACACGAACTGGAGCCAAAGCACTGCCGGTTCTCATCGAACTTCGTCGAGGTGGAAGGAAGCAGACTTCGCCTAACACTAAAAGATTCCCAAATCTTTCGACCTAAGCTTCATCGTTGAATAGTTAGAACAAAGTGAGAAGAAAGCAAAATTTTGCAAACTGTACAAGTCTGTCCATCACGAAGAAGTTCTTCGAGCAGATATTAATGTTATTCCCCCGACTGTGATTTTATCTATCCTTTAATTATTTACGCGTAATTGAAATTTTTCGATCGCATCCGATTCGATTTCGTGATCCTGCGAAGAGTCCTCGTGGCTCGATGTCGATCTCGTGTTCTTCGGTCTGAATCTCAACGTTTGCTCAAACCGACAAGTATTGTTCGCTCGGAAATTATTTATTTAACGACACGAATTTCTGAACTAGATACGCGAACTGTGTGTACGTATACCTCGTGATTGTGATCCTGTGTGGAGATGCCGGGGGGAGGGGGGGTTGTATTCTAGAATATTGAACAATTTTAGCAAATTTCTCTTCGTCGCAGAAGTGTCAAAGTTTCAATGTCTAGTCATTTCTTCGGCACAGACCAGGAGAGATTATTCATTTCACGGAGGTTCGAGTCCCACAGGATCTGTAATATGTACGTTTATAATAAGTAAATCAATAAAATTATATTTTATTAATGGATAAACGATAGTTATTACAATTTTTCAAGAACCCTATTTATTTTCTGCAGTCCACAAGTGAATATATCAACAGAGTGGTGAAACTTGTAGGTAAGGTTGTGCATCACTTTAAATTGATAACGAGTCTTTAGAGTTCCGACAATATCTGGTCTGCGTCTTCGGCCTTGTAACGATTAGCTGCTGCTGGAATGTCGTTCTATCGGAGTAAGAATTTTATCGTGAATCATTCGATAGAGCGCGTCTAACGTTGATGGTCCGCGAATCTATATTGTTTGTAAAGATTGAAAAATATACTGATGTTAACGATAATTGTTATATCACTTCGTTTATCGGCACCTGTTCGAAGTAATTAAAAATTATACTATAACATTTAAACCTTCTCGCGTAGAAATAATGGCTTATAAAAATATATGATCCCGCGTGGAATGTTCTGTAAAAACGTGTTGCTGTAGTTTTTTACACACGGAGGGCAATGATGTTGCTTCATCTTCGTCCCTGAAAAATTTCACTTCTTTGTTTTTCCTTTGCTCGAATGCAAAAATATTGTACACGTGTCAGGGTCTAATTGAAGATACTATCGATCGTTCGGTCGTTATTTTTTGCATCGGAAATGTTGCGAATTCGATCACGAACGTCTAAGGACCATCTCCAGAAGAGCCATTCGAACGTAAACGCCGTTTTCAGCTTGCCGAAAGTAAGCGGCCCGTGGATCCGAATCGAAGTCCGGACTGATCTCGAAGACGCGCGGCAGAGGATGCATCACTATCATCTTTCTCTTAGCGCGAGACATTAATTGCGGCGTTATCACGAAATGCCCGCAAACCTGCAAAACCACGACGATTTTCTTCTCTATATCTTCAATTGTTATCGAGACAAACGAATGGAAATCGCGTTGGGAGCATTTACCTGTCGATATTCTTCCTGCGTGACGAAACGTTCCTTCTGAATACGCGTCATATAAAGCACGTCAGTGTCGGGAAGAGCGCCCTCCAGGGTGGAGAACTTTTCCTGGGGGATTCCACGTTCGGACACGTACTTCACCACATGGTCAGGCATGCCAAGGCCAGATGGGCAGACGTAGCGAAGTTCCACATTATATAGGGTCAACAACCTGCATCGTAAAGTGGTCACGCGTTCCAAAATTAACGATCGCGACGTAAACAGCATAAAGATATGGTCGATCAAGGATACGAGACAAGGTTATGGATCCGACAAATTGCCAGGCGGAACGGGAACATGTATAACTGACCTCGCGAGAGAATGCACCGTTCTACCGTGCTTCAAGTCGCCGACCATTGTGATCGTGAGCCCGTTCACCGTACCGATCTCGTCTCGTATCGTAAAGATATCGAGCAACGCTTGGGTTGGGTGTTCACCAACTCCGTCGCCGGCGTTTAGCATGGGTTTCCTACAGTGTTGTGCTGCTCTCTGAGCAAAAGGTGAGGAACGATAAGCGTGTTTCTTATCTTTTAAAGTTCGGTATTTGAGTAAACTCGATAGGATTAACGCTCACCGAAACTGCGCCTGGTTCGGGATGTCGAAGAACTACCACGTCCGCGTAACCGGCCATCACTGCGACAGAATCTAAAAATGCGCGATCGTTAGTCGATCGAATTCTTCCTGGCGTTAAATACAACACGAGAATTGCAAACCTTCTAGAGTCTCTCCTTTTTTTACCGATGACGTGGATCCATCCATATATATCACCCGACCACCAAGACGTTCCATAGCCGCCGCGAAACTGCAGGAAGTTCTTGTACTAACTTCGTAGAATATCGAGGCCATCAGTTTTCCCTGTTCGAAAAGAAGGCGATGGTCATATTCAATCGCAACGTTAAAATGTCCAGAGTGTTTCTCTTACTCGTAGAATATGATCCAAGGGCCGATCTTTTCTGACAGCACCACGAAGGAATTCCGCGATGTGAAAGAGGTCCTTCAAGATCTCTTTGTTGAATATGTCCACGGACAGAATATTGTGTCCGATCAAACTGTGGCTGGTGTGGACGGGTGGTATCGGGGCGACGGGAGTCACGAAGAGATTAGGATTGCTGTCGCTCTTGTACTTTATCGCGGTACTGATCATTCGACTTCTGCGACGCTGGTTGCAATAGATGCGCGTATGAGTCTACAAGTAGTTGAAAACGCGTCGATTACGACGGATATCGTTACGGTGTAACGCGACACGAAATATTTGCCTACCATTTTGTTCCTCCTCCGACATGTCCGCGATCCGATCGGAGTAATTGTTATATTTCTCGTGATTCGGTGACAGCATACCGTCGAGTGCCGAGTTCGGTCGACTGGAAACTTCGATTACCGGCGCAATGATCGGAATTTGATGTTTCATTTTCGCTTGAAGTTCCCTGACATCCTGCCCGAAGCCAGGTGGCACCAAGATTTGCCCTTCGACGTAAGCGACTTCTCCCCTGAGAACCACTCTGTGAACGGATCCACGAACTTTCATACCGATGAACGGAGTCCATTTCGATTTACTGAAAGGCATTGCCTCCGGGATAACCCACTCGTCGTCGAGATCGACTTCGATATATGTGTTCGGCTGATCCGGTATATTGAAAATCTTTTTTGGATTCTTATACAGCTTGTCCACTATATCCTGCAAAGAGACGGGATTTATTCCTTGAGCTTACAATCGCAATTGAAAATGAAGGAAAGAATTTTCTTTTGGTGCGAGAACAATAAATTTTTCAACAATATCGTGAATACTGTCAGTGACGTATCGATGACGTCATATCACGCGACGAAGAGATATCAAAATCCTATTATGATATATGTATGAAATCGAAAAAGATGCGTGTCATCAAAATCATTGCTCGTTCGAGCGAGTAAATGCTCCAACTAAAATACCTCTATCGTTAATTTTCCCTCGTGAACGGCTGTGAGCAAAAGTGGAAGCATGGTCTCGAGGCCAGGAAATCCGGGGGGTGGTTTCTCGCTGGATTTCTCTTGTACCGTGTGCGGTGCTTAAACGTAGAAATTCTCTTTTAGTAGACTTTTTTCCCATGTAAAAAATCTACTAAAAAAACTGAATCCAATGTACAAAAACTACTCTTTAGTAGTTTTTGTACATGTGATTCAGATCATGATAGTAACTGTGATAGAAGTGAATAGATGAAAATTTACCGTGATCTGTCGCGAAGCAATCGATCACATCCAAATTTTCCCAGAGGGCTTGCTGATCCTCCTTGGTTCCCAAGATCGGTCTCACTTGACCACGTCCATGACCAATACGTTCTAAATCATCCTCGCAGAGGAATAAATGATGGGGACAAACCTCGCAGGTAACCGCCATTCCCTGAAACGAACGCAGGCAACGTCAGGCTCATCCGACGCACGACTTCACAAACATTTATTTCCGTAATAGTGTGCACACCTTAATTTTAGCGGCGCGGATGATTTGAATCTCTTCCTTCCGAGCTACATGACACACGTGGATAGGACGGTTATGCAGATCAGCCAGCAGGAGAACCGCGGCTGTCGTTTGGCCCTCGGCGTGTACGCAAAGAGGATACTTCTTTGGCCAGCTTTGGAAGTGCTGTGACAAATTCAAATCTCCGTTTCGATCACCTCCGTCGGTTCATCGAATTATATAAATTTTGTACTGTTCTCCACGAAAACGCTTACCTTGATCCATACGGTAAGATCTTTCAGTCGAAGTGTCGTAAATGTCTCATTCAGGTACATTTTCAGGCCCGCTGCGAGCGGTGCCAATTCCGGCGTTACACTGTAATTTTCGGACGAAGCGCCGACGAAGAGCGCGTAGTCGCATCTAGCATTGCTCGAGGCTCGCTGAAACGCGTCGTGAAACGAGAAAAAAATTTGCAAAATCCGATCGTTCCGAAATACAACCTTGGAGTTTACGTTCTTCAGGCCCTCACCTCTTTGGCTAAAACGAACGATTGATGATCGACGATCGCTGGATTCGTGTTGGGCATCGTGAAAATCATCGTGACACCGCCGGCGAGCGCGGCAGCGGTGCAGGAAGCGAAATCCTCCTTGTAAATCGCGCCAGGATCGCGCGAGTGCACGTGAACGTCGATAAAACCAGGAAGCTTGATCATTCTTCTCGAAGACGCGCAGTCTGTGTGGGTCTTCATACGAGGCGCTCGGCCTCTGAGCATTCTCATGGCCTACATAATCGAAAACGCCCGTCGTTACTATGTAATAAATTTTTCTTTTAGTAACAATACGGATGGAATTCCACGCGATTACTCACTTCGACGAGTAGTTTCACGCATTTAACGTCTGTGATTAAGGGAACGGAATAATCGACCGCTAATCTTCTCGTACGATATCCGTGTGTCATGAAGTTCGAAACCCGTCGTACGCCACCGTTCCTCATCGGTAAATTGATTATGAGATCGAATTGTTTCTTCGAGAGGAAATCGGCCAGGTGACGAAGTTCGCTCGGACTCGAATTTTCGTTCACGGCGATATTCTCGAACGTCCATTGTACCGGTTCAACCTGCAATTAAATCATCCTTCCGCTTAGTCTAATTTTCCCCGAGTTATTTCGTGTTAATTATTGTCTCCCGTGAAGCGATCGGATCATCGTTATAATCTCAGAAGTTTATCGCCTCTACTCGCATAAACTGTACATGTGGTTTCTGTACAGAATGCTCGATGATATCGATCTCCGAAGGCCTACATTGTATCAATGTGTCTGCGTTAGAAAAGATAAGCACGTTAGATGATAAAACGAATCACTGAAGTATGGGTTCGAATAATGAACTATGTCCATTTGTATTATCTAGTACAGCACATTCCTTTGTAATTAATCCGCGATTTTATCATATGTTTGGACAGATTTCAGAAACATTGCAACTGGACGAACGCATGGTAGATACGTAGGAATAGGAAATTACAATATTAGTAGAAAAGTTGAATACGAAAATATGTTATGGTTCTCGAGATTGAAATCCCCTAACAGGATTATTACATTGAGCATGCATATCGAGTGCCAGTAAAATGTATTTGTCATGTCCGGTTTATTTGTCGATAGCCAATAGCGACGCACCGATTAATCCGTTCTACGTTGTAGTTTGATAACGAGATATGTAGGTATTTATCGGTGACGGTACCCTACGACTGGATTACTGTATCATCGATGAGCGTCGAGTACGTGTTGCCTCGTAGATAGACCCGTCATGTTCGCGGACGTTGATTTCTTCTCGAACGGACCGAAGCAACGTGTTCAACTTTAACGAAGTCGCATTTGAGGAGACATATTTTTCGGTGAACGTTTGTGTACGTGAAATGGGAAATTCCAAGTCGAGAAACAGAAGTGGATCGCGCGGAAAAGTGAGCGGAAAAACGATCGACAATTCTTCGAGCCAGGAGGATGATTACGAGGACATAGAGCTGCGTTTGCTCAGAAGAATGATACAGACAAGCCCGGACCGTTTCGTGCTAAACAATCTGATGATGTGCGTCCAGTTTTTCAAGAATTACGAGGAGTAAGATAAAATTCCATTTAAATCGAATATTTCACCGCTTCGATTTCTCACAGATACCAGTAGCGTTCCAATATATTTCGTAATCTAATCTGCCTCCGTAAAATCACTTCTTGTGACACGACCAACAGGAATATCGTTTTGAACGGGTTCGATTTTCAGGGATATCGAGCACGTGAAAGGAACGTTGGTGTCGTCGGCCGAAGCTGAACTGAACAAGCATTTGCCGCAGCAGAAGCACGTTCTGTTACCGGATGTTCTCCAGGAGCACATCGCCAGAAATGTCGGTTTCACGTCGACCACACAAATCTCTCGACCGACCATCGAGCCGCTCCAGCCTGTACGTATTTACACAGTCCACGATAACATTGATATCACGGAGCCGAACTATTTGTCCCACTACAGCAGCATGAACAATTCAGACATCTACAATATACTACTGAAAACGACGGAACACGAAGGTAAAAGCCGGTAAATGGGACACGTTGAACCGTAAAAATTTACCCACGGTCATTACAGCGAATTATTCTGCTCTTTTTCGTCAGGATTCGTTCAGCTGCAACTAATCGACAATTTGGATGTATCGAAGGACGGAACGATAGAAGAGGACGTGGATCTGTCGTCGATAGCGGAAGACAACGACCAATTGTACAGCGACGGTGACAGTGTTTATTCCTTGAAACCACGCTCGAACTTGATATTACCAAGAAGATCCAGGCAAGGGATGCTCAAGGGATCAAAGTACGGATACGCGACATCGTTGCCGAACCTGCTCGCCGAGGAGGAGATTCTGTACGAGGATCGACGAGTGCTCAGTCGGTCTAATCGTAACATTCAGGACGAAACCGATTACGAGAACGATTCCTCCGTTAAGACAGAAAAGACGAACCGAAGCAAAAGAACGTCGTACAAGACAGAGCTGTTGAACGGGGAGCATTGTCGATGCGAGAAGTATTCCACGCAAACCAAAATCCATGGGTCTGCTAATGAAAGTCGTACCAGTAGTATCAGTTCCGGATATCGGTCCGATAATTATACGATAGACAGCGATAGCAGTTTGTACCCCACCCAGAATGATAAGCACGGGCAAACTTCGATTTACGAACTCAGGGACGAATGTTGCATAAGGAACGATCAATTACCGAATCGTTGTTTCAAACGAGTCACTTACACCTCCGAGGGAAAGCTGTACGATCCACGGGAGGAGAGGAAACAGCCGTTGAATAGCAAACAGCGAAGGATCAAGCAGGCCCTGATACGACACAATTACGATCTGTTTTACGCGAGCAGCACCGAGTTCATGAGACATTTCGTAAATGTTTTCCTGCATCGGTTGGCCGATTGTTTCGGCTTCGATCGGGAATCGATAGAGGACGCGAAACGCGAGGGATGCGTTCTCTATTGCGACAAGATCACGGTCTCCAACGCGCTCAGGCATAGTCGAGTCGAACAGTACGAGATCATACCAGCTGTGTGGTTGGAATGGCCTAGTTGCGGCCAGGAATGGCTGGACCGATCGCGAAGCACCTGGCCCGATTACACCGACGTCGAGAAGATCAAGGCATCCGGATGTTACGTCGTCCCGGAGGGTTTTGTACCGAGACGGGAGACCAGCAACAATCTCAATGAAGATCTAGAGTGGCAGCTCACGTTCCCGAACGCGGAACGATACCTCGAAACTTGCATGACTCACGCTCAAGTGCAAGTGTACCTGATCAGTTTGGTGGTACACAAGACCTTCATGAGGCCAGTGTACGATAGCTTCTTCGGCCTGACCATCGCTCACATCAGGCACAAACTGTTCTGGCTGATCGAGGAGAACGACAGGCCGTCCAAGTGGCCCGACAACCGAATGGGCGATTGCTTGTTGTCGTTTCTGAACTCCCTCTATTACTGCATCAGCCAAAACGAACCCACCCTCAGGGATTACTTCGTCCGCGGCAGAAATCTCTTTCAGCGTGTACCCTACGATCATTTGCTGCACACGCAGAAACAACTGAAACGCATCATCGAGAACCCGGTGATGTACGTTTTCCACGCGATGGAAAATATTCGACACAACGAGAACTTCTTTCCGCGTTTAGACTTCGAGACGCTGCTGAGAATATTAACGGCGGACACGTTGACGCTTATTAATCCGGCTGTGGTCCGCCACGTCTCGCGACCGTTGCCGCGATCGAGCGCAGAGATTTCCGGACAGGAGGAGAAATACGGTACGGGGGGATTCTGGGACGTCGTGAAGAATCAACGAAAGAAACATTCGACAACGATAGTTACCAACAAAACGCTGATCAACCCGCGTAAAGCTACGGATTCTATCATTGAAATTTCGGTAGGTTACTTACTGATAAGCTTCTTTTATCTTTTCAATCGAACCCCAGCGTACAACGCGTATCACTCACAACTTTTAATCCTTCTCGCGGTACAGACATACATATTTAATACGAATGGAATTATCGATTTATCGTACGAACATAGGATGCGTTTTATTCGTTGATGAAATCACCTTGCTTCCTTCTCTCCCTTTCTCAATCCCCCTGTTCTAATCTTATCTACGATAGTCTAGTAGTTCCACGTTATATTTTTAGACACGTTGTGCCGAGCTGGACGGCCCAAGGTTGTGCGCTCTACTAGATTTCTTCATACGACATTTTATCAAAATGGCCGATCGGTGTAATCAGTACAGAGCTATTCAACAGAAAACAACCTACCTGGACCAGGCAGACCGACTGTCGATCCTCCTTTTCGAGCATCAGAGATACAAACAGGATGCCAGAGCCTACCGCGACAAGATCAAAGTGCTCAGGAAACGGAACGCCGGCTCGAGGCCTCAAGAGGACCCACCGGAAACACCAAGGAGAAACCCGGAAGCAGCCATATTTGTGGCGCCATTGAAGCATCGTTTCGCGCGAGAATCCTTCGAGCATGGTACAACTGTGCCAGAGACGGAGGATGAACAGTCGAGAAAAGCTTCCGAACAAAGTGTTTCCAGCATTCGGAATACCACTAAAGTCATAATCCACGAAGGACAGTACAAAGAACCGGAGGCACAGGAGCTAAGCATTCCAAAAAATCGGACAACGCCGGCTTCACCGGCAAGGGAAACAACCAAATCTCGTAAAGTCGTGATGCTTCTCGAACCCTCCGAAACTAAAACGAACGAATCAACGAACATTTAAGCACGTATCGAATGAAAGATTTGTCAATTGCTAGTGTGCGTGTGTGTGTGTGTGTGTGTGTGAGAGAGAGAGAGGGAGAGAGAACTAAGAACCGAGCAGCGGAATGTATCGGCTGTTCCAACGTTTTCGATCATCCGACAATAAACTTGAATACTACGAACACTAACATGGTAATTTAATACCGTTTAATGTTAGTTATACTCGAAGAAGACTGAACCGTGTTTATTATTCCGAGAACCTGTGAACTGCGTCAATTCGACACAATAAAAAGGCAATTAAACTGTAGTAAATAAATAAACGATATTTTCAATTGTAACATTCGCTTGTAACCCGCCCCCTATGTAAATAAATAAGTACACTTTACGTTTGTTCGAGAGCATTTGATTCCTAAAAATTTCCTCCTCACTCACCTCGACTCCATGTTCGGTGTAAAAATCCGCGGTTCCCATGCTGGCGCACAATTTGTATCCCATCTTATGAAGAGTGCAAATAGATGGTAACAACTCCATTTTATGCTGCAACACAATAGGTATGCACGTATAGTCCAAAACTTCGGTCGTTAGTTTTTTCTAAAGTTTTCAAGTGGGTGCACGATAATACTACCTTGAAACTTCCGACAGATAGTAAGATTCCCTTTTGCGGTATATGAAAGCCGGTGCTCATCATTCCTTTCAGATAAGCCTCGTATCGGTTGTCCCCGAAACAAGCGACTTCACCGGTGGAGACCATCTCCACTCCCAACATCACGTCGGCGCCTATTCGTATAAATTGCTTTGTAATAAATATTACATTTTCAAGCTAGATATTATCGAGTGTCATCTTACCGGCAAGCCGCGAGAAAGAGAACTGCGGTACTTTGACGCCGACTTTGCCGCATCCGGCGAAAACGTCGACAGGATCGACGGGTTCCCCGATTATCAGTCGAGTGGCCATAGCAACGAAATCGTGATCCAGCGTCTTTGATACGAAAGGAAAGGACCTCGACACTCTGACGTTGCATTCGATCACCTTTAGCTCGTTGTCCTGTCGAGAAACGAAATCTTTAGACGACTGTATCTCGTTATTTTTTCATCTCGCGTAACAACCGATTACCTTGGCGATCAGTTGCATGTTGAAGGGTCCAGTTACACCTAGAGACGCGGCCACGGCCTTTGATATCACTTTGATTTTCGTCAATGTTTCGTCGTTAATGTCCTGGGGCGGCGTGACCAACGTAGCGTCTCCTGAATGAACACCCGCGTTCTCCACGTGCTCCGACACGGCCATGCAAAGAATAACCCCGTCATACGCAACGGCGTCCACGTCTATTTCTTTAGCTTCGAGAATGAATTTCGAGATGACCACCGGATGCTCTTTGTTCACCTCGCTGGCGCTCTTTAAATACGACTCGAGATCCTGGTCCGAGTGCGCCACGTTCATAGCAGCTCCACTCAATACGTAAGAAGGCCGTACCAAGCAGGGATAACCGACTTCGTCGCAGAACTCGATGGCAGATTTCAAATTGGTCAGTTCCTTCCATCTAAACCGTGAGAGATATTCGATAAGCGTTAGACGCGTTGGAAGCTTACACCCCTGTCACAGGTTCGTTACCTGGGCTGCGAAATACCAATGCCATCCAGCATCCGAGAAAATTTGAACCGATTCTCGGCACCGTCCACGGATTCTGGCGAGGTCCCGAGAATTCTCGCTTGCTGCCTATGAAGATCCATCGCGATATTGTTCGGTAGCTGGCCACCCATCGACAATATGATACCCTCTGGACATTCGTGGTCGTAGATATCCATCACGACTTCGAACGATATCTCCTCGAAGTATAGTCGATCGCTCATGTCGTAGTCGGTGCTGACTGTTTCCGGATTATAATTGACCATGATCGTTTTCCTGCCTAAATTACGTAATTCACGTAGACAACTAACCGCGCACCAATCGAATTCCACGGAGCTTCCGATTCGATACACCCCGGAACCTGTGAAATACGAACATGTAACGTGTACGTGTGAACCGATTCGTCGCGAAAAGAGAATCATTTACGTACCGATGACCATCGTGTAACCGCCAGGAAATTCCATGTCGTGTACAGTACCGTTGTATGTCAAATAAAGATAATTCGTAGTGGCCGGCCACTCGGCGGCCACTGTGTCTATCTGCTTCACCATTGGGCGAATGTTGCTTTCCTGCCGTTGAATTCTTACGGCCAGTTCCGAGCTCTTCACCACCGCGGCGATTTGTTTGTCCGAGAATCCAATTTGTTTCGCGCGCAGCAGTACATCGTGCGACAATTTCGTGTGATCCACGTTCTCCAGGACGGAATAGTAGTCGATGATGTTTTTCATTTTGTGGAGAAACCATCGATCGATCTTGGTCAGCTCGTACAATCGATCGATCGTGTATCCAGCCTTTACGGAAGCAGCGAGAACGAACATTCTCTTGTCCGTTGGTTTTTCCAATTCCTCGGCGTTCGGAGCTTTCACGTATGGATCGAAACCGTTGATACTCTCGTCGACCATTCTCAGAGCTTTTTGAAAAGCCTCCTCGAATTTTCGTCCGATCGCCATCACCTCGCCCACGCTCTTCATCGAGCTACCGATCTGAAATCAACCACAATTCTCATTGCGTTGCGATTCCGATAGCTTGAACCAGGTCTGTGGACGCTAACTATCTATCAAGGTATGTCTACAAAGTACCTCTGTGCTGACTCGAAGAAATTTCCCGAGATCCCATCGTGGTATCTTGACGACACAATAGTCTAGACTGGGCTCGAAGCATGCCGTAGTCTTCCCTGTGACGGAGTTATGGATATCCGGTAGTCGAATACCCAATGCCAGTTTGGCTGCCACGTAAGCGAGCGGATAGCCGGTCGCTTTGCTCGCCAGAGCCGAACTTCGCGACAATCTCGCGTTCACTTCGATAATGTAATATTCTTCGGTGTTTGGATTCAACGCGTACTGGATATTACATTCGCCGACGATACCGAAACGTCTGATCACGTTTATCGCTGTGGTCCTAAGCATATTGTACTCTTTGTTGGACAATGTCTGACTGGGAGCGACGACGATCGATTCACCGGTATGGATCCCGAGAGGATCGACGTTCTCCATGTTACAGACCGTGATGCAATTGTCGTAAGCGTCACGGACCACCTCGTATTCGATTTCTTTCCAACCCTTCAACGATTTGTCGATTATCAGCTGGTTCGAGTGAGCGAGCGCTTGTTGCGCGAGAATCCTCAACTCTTCCTTCGAGTTCGCGAATCCGGAGCCCAAACCACCGAGAGAAAACGCGGCTCTGGCCATGACGGGATAGACCAGCTCTTCGGCAGCGTCCAACGCCTGTAAACGAAAAATTCAAAACTCGAAATGTTCGAAACTCGTAAAAAGGATCTAGACTACACCTAATATTGATTCCCTTACTTCCTGGATCGAATATACCGCGGCGCTTGGCGCGACCTTTTCACCGATCTCACCGATGCGATCGGCGAACATCTTTCTGTCCTCGGTTTCTATCACAGATTGTATAGGCGTCCCTAAAATTTTCACGTTATACTTCTCGAATACTCCGTTCTTTTCGAGCTCGACGCCGCAATTGAGAGCAGTTTGTCCCCCGAAGGTCAAGAGCACACCATCGGGACGCTCCGATCGTATCACCTGAAACAAGTGCCAGTTCGGAAAACCGTATCCCTTAATATCCGGGATATTTACCCACCTGTTCCACGTATTCCGGTATAATCGGCAAAAAGTACACTTTGTCCGCCATGCCTTTCGAGGTCTGTACGGTCGCGATATTGGGATTGATCAGAAGCGTTTGCACGCTTTCCTCCCGTAACGCTTTGATCGCTTGCGATCCAGAGTAATCGAATTCGCCGGCTTGGCCGATGCTCAGTCCACCCGATCCCAGGATTAGCACCTTTTTTGGACGGCTCGGGACGGTGGGGTTAACGTCGACGAAGCTCAACTTTCTATTCAATCTCTCCTTGATGGAAATCCGTGGTTTTCCAGCAGTCTCGTCTTTGACAGCCTCTAAAAACACGTCGAACAAACATTCCAGGTCTTCGGGGCCGGCTGTGTGTTCCGGATGGAACTGAACCGAGAAATAAGGTAACGATGAGTGCAAAACTCCCTCGTTGCTGTCGTCGTTCGCGTTCGTGAAGAGGGGTTCCCAATCGGCCGGCAATCGACCGGCGTCGACCGCGAATCCGTGGTTCTGCGAGGTCATGTAACAGCGTCCGGTCCCGTGATGCGTGACGGGCTGATTGTGGCCACGATTTCCGTAACTGTACACACACGAACGTATGGGGAAATTTAGTGTCGGAAGCAAAAGGACACGGCGACGACACGTTCGTGCATTCGACTATCTATTGGAGCGAAGCAACAAGTGGTGAGGGTAATCAGTACGTACTTCATCTTATACGTAACGCAACCGGCGGCGATGCAGAGTAACTGATGACCCAGACATATACCGAAAATCGGTTTCGTTGACCGTGCTTCGAGAACCGACCGAACACTTTTCACCGTGGTTTCGCACATGCTCGGATCGCCTGGTCCATTGCTGAGAAACAGACCGTCGTACTCGACCATGCTCAGATCGTGATTCCACGGAACGACGTCTACCCGAGCACCTCGTCCGATCAAGCATCTCAACTGATTGTACTTTAGGCCACAGTCGACCACGCACACACGAGGATGACCATTTGGATTGTACGTCTTTCTCTCGGGCTGAAATGTCACCGAAAGTTCCGTTCAGTTTTTGTAACGACTAGAAGAATCGCGGTATTACCACACCTGAACAACTTCCGCCACCAGGTTTCTCTTGTTTGGATCTGCTATCGGTGGAACCAGAGACGCTGGAGGATTCACAACTGGCGGATCGAAAAGAATTCGGCCTAATATCGTGCCCTTCTCGCGGATAACTTTTGTCAAGGCTCTGGTGTCCACTTCGTATATTCCAGGAACGTTCTGCTCCTTCATCCATTCGGAAAGAGTTTTCGTTTGTCGCCAATGACTCGGTGTCTCGCAAACCTCGCCGACCACCAGACCCGTGGCCCATATCCGATGAGATTCGAACCAGCTGTAAGAAGAAATTATGTCACCGATCCACGAGTATCGATTACGCGACTATGTGTAAATATTTTTATACGATTGCATTCTTTGTGAGACGACAGAAATACACATCCTCTATCTCTCCGAGAAAAGATCGTTGTTTTCTGTTTGCAATTCGAAGTCTTACTATGGGATTTTGTTTTCGTCGACCTCGTTTCCAAACACACCGTAATTTCCGATCAGCGGATACGTGAGCACTAGAATTTGCGCATGATAGGAAGGATCTGTAAGTGACTCCGGGTAACCCACCATACCGGTCTGAAACACTGTAAAAATACACAGTTGCTTCTGAAACTATACACACATGTTCTGTATATTACCATTGGACTCGATCTAAACAAGTTTCCGGAGTGAAATTTTGCTCGCATCCAGAATACGGCATGTATCTGTATTATTTCCGTGTAGATTACCAACGAAGGCGATTGATAGATCGAGCACGAGCAGAAACAAATATTGTTTCGCATGCTACAGGGAAAATGATTAACAGTTACCGACTAGACAGAGACAATCGAATCTTGTCGAGACTTAAAACAATTTCATTGGAGCGACGGGTGTGTCACCGGTAGTCGGCAGAAAGATAAAGCTGTAGAACGCGACGCGATGATACAGCAGACGTATAACGATCATATCTCGTATATAATTTATGGAACGGTGGGGACAAACGGAGCTGTCAATGACTCCGTTAAAGTGACCGCGGTTGTTAATAGAGTCACGGAACATTGTCGAGATTCGCTTGCTCGATCGATCATTTAATCGGCACGAATAATGGTATGGAAACCACGTGGTCGGTTGATCGCTCGAACAGACATCTACTATGTTAATCGCGTTGTGAACGTGTGTACATTTACATGGATGCTCACGCGGAAGCCATGAATCGTTACTCCCGTGTAACCGACTGAATCGGTGTGCTCGTCGAAAATCCATCGACGCACACCGTACCTATCAATCGTTCCAAAATCGAGGGTCAAGTTTAGAGAAACGGAGCAACGAGCTCGTAGAACTCGATCGTGGAAAAACCTGGACACGTGTGTTTGCTTAGCCGGCTGGTTGCGGCGTAGAGACGACGAACACGTGTTAAACGAAGACTCACCTATTTCACCGTCGACCGGCCTCTTCGCGCCGAATTGTCTTCCCGGGAAGACCGATCCATCCTCGAGCAAAAGGAACGCAGATTTTCCGGTATCGCAAACAGTCGCCGCCGCGTGCTCGTGCATTTTACCAACCATTGACCCCGAAATATACTACGATTCGTGCGCGCTCTCGACCCGGCAGACACTGCTAGTCCCGTGGGCCGAGAACACGCTTTATAATACATATACATCTAACAGGAGGGACGAGTATTCGGGTTTTGAGCGGTAGGGGTCTCGACAGGCAGGCAGCCTTTTCTTACAGGCCTGCGCGTAGCGGCGAGGAACACGGCTTCAGCCGATAGGCTTCAGCTTTACTCTCTCGTCTGCGCAGAATCGCTATACGCACGTCACGTGGAGAATACCGGTTCGATACATTGGCTCTTCCACGCACGGACACGCGGTATTTCCCGCTGCTTGGGAATTTGAATTTGAATTTTGGAATTATCGCGTACACGCAACCTTTCTATGTATTCTATCCTCGAAGATAAAGCAATTCTATTCTGTACTTTCATTTTATTTTTCAACGAACCACCCATACGTCCTTCCACCCGTCCAATGCTGCTGGAAAAGTGTACATCGACGGGGATAAGGGGAGGTGATCGCGAGAATCAGTTACATTAAGATAATATGGTGCTGCGGTGTCGGTGAACAGACGGTTTTGTAACAAGAGACGTGGATTCCTTCGTCATGCGTGTATGTGTATACTATGCTGCTATTCGACGGTGTTCCCAAGAATCGTTCGACGCGTCCTTCCGGTAAATTATTCGATCTGCTATCAGGTGATCCCTCGCGTAATAAAATTCCATCATCGTCGGGAATAGTTTGCATCCAACGCTGAAAGATACATTTAAATATTGAAACTTCGAGAAAATCGTATCTCTTACGAGCGATTATACACCTACAAGTGATCAGGCATTGGTAAATTATTCTGGTCTTTACGAACAGAATCCAGTATCTCGTCGTGACGTTGCTTCAGTTCCTCCCAAGTTACCTCCCGCCCTTGATCGCACAAATGAGACCGAATCTTACAATACAACGGTTCTTTGTTGTACAAATGCTGAAAATCTTGTTTCTCCAATCTTTTCATAATCCCTTCCACCCTCACCTATACGAATATCGGTAGCGTTTATTCGATACGTGTTTGAACGATCCATCGAATCTACTATTTATTACGTACCTGTTGAATGATATGCTGCTCTTTTTCGTTAACGTAAGACCACAGATAACACATAGCGACACGAGGGACATTCTCCTGGAACGATCGTAAACCGTCAGCGAAGGGATAAATGTCTGCGTCGCAGAGTGTTTTATAACAGCTGTCTAACCGAGAAAAACTATACACAGAATGTCTGAAAAATAACGGGATTGACAATGTAGGTGTAATAGAATAATGTAAGTATGAATAGATTTCTGAATCGCCTAGAGTATCTTTCTTCGTAAACATCACATACCTTATTTTCAGTGTTATCGTTCCTTTATTCCGGTAAAAGAAAAACATTAAGGCCGGAAATGTACTATCTTTTCTTCTATCTTTAATCGCTTTATCTTACTTTTACAGCGCTTATATGCGAGCAATGGAAAGTTCCATTTTTATCGGACTTTGTTCGAGTATTTTCGGCAGTACCTAAATATACTCCGTCTACAAGGTGTTAAATCCGTAATAAAGATAGTACAACTCCGAGAATAAACTAACAATAATTAGAACGAATCGACGAATCACGATCGTGAAACTGAAACCACTGAGAATATATGCGAATGAAGTAATAAAAAATGATAAAAATTATGGGTCTTTCGGGGTCAGATGCCTGTTTCAAAACACTGTGCGTCCCGGAAAAGACTTACGATATCGTCGATTTTCTTGCTACGCCGATCCGTCACGATTACAAAACCATCGTTATCAAACTCCCGAAGGACGACGTTCCTCGCAGACACGTTGCAGTCTCTGAAAGAGAAGCCGTTGCAGTTACACATTTCGCAAGCATTCCATTCTATGCGTTGATCGATCGTGCACCAACTTTGAGACGGTCGCCAAGCAACAGGCGTCCGGTGTTCGCGGGTTGCGTTTTCGTGCTTCGTCGTGCCAGATCCTGAACAGATCGACCGGATGGTCGAGGATCTGCTCGATTTTTGCCACGTCCGAGAGATCCGATTTCCTCGATCCCTTCGCACACGACGATTCCCGTACGGGAACCGGTTTAGTAAAGTATCGAATAGACCGCATCAGACGCGGCAGCGGCGTCTGATCGAAGGTTCGATCGATGTGTTTGACGAAGAACAGAAATCCGTAGCTATTTTAATCGTGTGAACCCTTGCGAAAATTGGTATCTTTTGTCGCGTTTAAGCCACACTACGGCGGGTAATTGCGCACGAGACCTCGTCAGCGAAAAGAATCGAGGCGTTATAAAACAATCAGTTGCTATTCTTACCATATTTTTTATTTCACCGAACCGTCCGAACGTTCCGCTATGTCCGCTTACACCATGCACGTTGTGCCAGCGATTTCGCTGAACCGATGGCTGGCGCGCAGTCGTTGAGAATTTATTAAGTCTACGCCAGGCCTCCCACCATCCCTACCAGTCTCTGCGCACTACTTGGTTCGCAACACCACCAAAGGTACTCGCAGAATGTCGCGACGGTACGTCCGTACTACGGAGAATCCGAACTTGATGAAAACTATCTCCACTTATGTAACGTCGGTGTACGAGACCCCGCGATCGAATATAAATACACACTATACAAGCGTAGAACTACAGTAAATCTACGCACGTAAGACGGGTAACACGGTTGCGCAATGGGGGATCATTGTTCAAATTTCATGCCACATTGTCCAAAGAAATCATTACACACCCCTTGAACGCAAACGATTTCGAACGTATGCGTGTATATTACAATACTAGTCTTGACTCCACAGATTTTCCTTTACATTACATTCGATTCACGTGGATTGAAATGAAGACGATCGCTCTAATTTACAATGTTCCTCGAGTATTTTACAGTTGCGGTAAGGAGTAAGTCTAACAGAAAAAATGATTAACAAAAAAAAAAAAAAAACACAATATGTATAACGATAGAGAATCATAACCGGGAACGATTTTGCGACATTATCCATTCCCACTCGGCGTATCACAATTTCCGTGTCGGTTTTGATCGATCGCGAAAGTTTTTATCGGTCGATACGTGTACTTGTAAATTCGTTTCGTATCGAACTTCGAGGATGAAAATCATTCTATCGTAGATTTTATCCAAGCAATATTTGACGAAACTTTGTCGTACAGTCGAGGCCTCTCGACACCGGCTTTCGAACAGGCAATACGCCAACTACCGACACCGGTTAGAGCCCATGTCCGACCGTCCGACCGAAGACACAACATGGGACTGCCGGCAACCTCTTCCTCCTGGAAGTAAAAAGTTAATTCCAGTAGTTCCGCGGTATTAATTCGCAGGCGAACGTGCCGCTTCAATGGTCCGTGTACGAACGTCTCAATTCACTTACGTTGCAATCGTCAGTGGAATAGGCGGGTTCGGTGCAGACGCTATTGACCGACGCGATGCTTATGTTTTCGCACCTTTCCATCGCGCTATGCTTAAGTTGTACCCTCTGCAGTAGATCGCCTGATCGAAGACAATTGTTCCGTTAAAAAAAAAAAAAAATAGTCATTGTTATTGCATAAACGCGACGGTATGCGTTCTATCGAAAATTCTACTAGTTTTAATTTGCCCACCGATGTTCCTGTCATTAGGTAATCCTGTCGGCATAATACGCGTTCTACCGTGCGTACCGAGAAATCGTATTTCAACGGGACATCGTGCGCTCGACACAGAGCGTATATTTATACCAACTTCAAGGATATTCATTCTCGATTTAAGATCGAGAAAGGTGCTGTCACAGAGATTGTGTAAGCCGTCCCGCACTACCATCCCTCTAAGGTCGATGCAACGCGTAAACGATACGCGTAATTACGTCCTTATGTAACGCGCCGTAAGATAAATAACGGAGCCTTGAGGCTTCAACAAACGCTGAAAGTTTGACGGAAAGACCGCGTATACGCTTTAAACGAAGGAAAACCGGTGAATTTGATCTTACGATTTCTCGCCCAGCCGAGCGTGTTGCAGATTGACGTGTCCGTCGGTGGATCCTGATTCGATGGCAGGCAAACGGGCCTCACGAAATCCGAGAACGTGGCCAATGGACGGTCCAGCTTTAACAGAACTGTGGTGCTTCCTTCTACCGGTGATTTAATCATACCTACGATTCTACGTTCTTGTTGCCACGGTGACGTACTCGAGAGCCGTACGGTGCCCATTCTCGCGGACCATTCCGCCTTCGATTGACTAAAAGAATCCGTTAAATTGTACATCCGTATGTACACTCACGAGGAAATTCGACTTCCACTAGGGGAAAAAGTGGCGTAGGCGAATGGCCTACTACCACTTAGTTAATTTATTTTAAGTACCTATTGAAATAAATGTTAATTTCGCAGAAATTTCAGTAATTTCTAATCCCAAGTGGTACAAGGCCTTTCACTTACGCTACTTTTTCCCCTAGCGAAAGTCGAGTTTCCACGTCATTGTACAACACCGTTAACCACTAGAAAGATGGTCACGACCCGTGAGGAAATCGATGGGAAACAAGACTAACCCTTGGAAACAAGACGCCGTGGTGATTAACCAATTTTCCGCGACGAGGGTTGCGTCGCACACGTGTACGTCTTCCTTGAACAGAGCCACATGCCACGGCCAATCGCCAGGTTCTGCCATCTTATTCAGACCTCGTGTACCGCCCTTTACACGCAGAGATTGTACGCCACACTCTGTAGAAAAATGTCAGCTCAGACGTTACATGTTCCCCTTGAATCAATAGCTCATACAACTTGACAATAATTTTCGTACCGAGATCGGAGCACCGGACATACATAACTTCTTTGCTCGGGCAAGGGGCCCTGACGAATGTGATTTCCGTGGCGGACGGATCCTCCATGTGCACGTATTGAACGTCATCCTCGTCGTCGATTCTTATTTCCACAGACTTCACCCCCCTGCAGAGGACGGATTACGAGGTCAATCATACGTTGCACAAATTTCCACTCGCGAAAACGAACGAAAACACGATCTGTACTTACGCGTAGGTCAACAAACTGCACAGTGAACCAGCCGCGGTCTGAAGAACGGTTTCCATTTCCGTTCCCGGCAAGGTCGCGTTAAGGTTCGCGGTGCAAAGCTTACCGATGGTACCCTTCTCGTTGAACACTACGAAACCCTCGTTGGTATACTTGGCGGCGTACGGTGTGTCCAGTGGTTGGGATTTCATGGCTCGGATACTCGACGCCAAAGACACTAACGAAATCATACCGTAAACATAAGAAACCAGTAAGAAAATACGAAGGCGGCGCGCTTCGATACTCACGACAATCTTTTTCGTCGCTGCCGTTCGCGCAGTCCACTTTTCCATCGCACCTCTTTACGTGTGGTATGCACATTCTGCCTACGCCGCAGTGCATATAACCGTCGCGACAGTATGCACAATTCTTTTCGTCCGAAAGGTCAGGGCAGTCGATCACTCCGTCGCATATTCTCGGGGACAATGCTTTCTCTTGAAGCGCTTGCACGCACCCTACGACAACGTTACCCGAATAAATTTCAACGGATCCGACCGATCTTGACGCGCGATAGGCTGGTACCGATCGTTTCACCTGGTTTCGCCCTGCAACCACCCTGGTCCGCGTACTCTGGGAAGTTCGAGCAGTCCAATAACCGTTTGATCCGATCCGGAAGTCGGCTGCCGCATCCGTTCCAAAATTCTCGGCAGAAGCTTCTGCACGGTAACTGCAGCAGGTCTTCCGGTTGACTCGGTGCGCACGCTGGCTGCAAAACTTGGCACACGAAATCGTACGCCAGTCGGTAGCATTCCGCGTCGACCAGCTCCCTATCGGATACAATACTACGTCGAGTCCACTATACTACGAAGAAGTCGCAGGAAACGATCGAGAGGAAATGCGTGTACCTGAAGGCGATTACATCCTCTTCAACATCGGTCAAGGAACCGTGACCCAACATGTTCGGGTAAGAGGTGACGTTGTAAGGAAGGTGCTTACAATAGGATAAATCCACGGGGCTGCACCTTCTGGGCGGAGGTGCCGTCGCGGTTGTCGCTGGGGACGATGATACGGTAGTTTGCGAACTGACTTGAGCGTTCAATGCTTTTATACTCTCCTCGACTTCGAGGCTCTGTGAATCTATCGTCAAGTTCGACAAGTATTTCGATGTCGTGGGATCAATTTCTTTCGACAAAATATCCACGATGTCGGCGGTCGTGATTGTCTGATACCGTGGATCGAATCGAACGTCGAAGTGCACCACCAAATCGTCGCCCTCGGAGCTGCGCAGAAAATTAGCGAAAAGATCGAAACACGCAAATGGACTCGTTTGATGTTCGAAATTAACAACGGATGTGTCAGGAAATAACTGAAATCGGAGGTGGTACCATCCCAAAGATACGTTTGGCAAAGATTCCAACCACTTACCCATCGAGCGCTAAAATCTCCGCGGCGAGAAAGGAAATTTTCAACCAGCTGCGTCGAAACATGAGATTCAACCGATCGCGGTACTCTCGCGATCGTATTCGAAAGGCTTCGGTAGAGGGATCTGCTAGTTCCAAAGCGAACGAATCTCCTTCGGTAACTCGGAAAGTCGCCAAGAAAATTTGATCGCCTGGTGGGTCTGACGTTAGGAACGTGTCTGAAATGACAAGAAAAACGAAAAACATCCGCGATTAGTGCAAAGTACAAGACGTTTATTTTTCAACTCGACCAGACAATACGTATTCAGGGTGACATGTAACTGATGGTACAACCGAGTAAGGGAGGATTCTATGTGTAAAAGTCGAAAATTTTATTCTATTTTTTCGACTTATTTTTTCACGTAAAATCATCGTTTACCCAGTTTCACCGCCAGTTACATTATATCCTCTATATAAATGTGAATTAGAGAATCGGTGGCGCTCGAGCAGAGTGGCTCGAGAGTCGAGTTTGTTCTCGAGGCTCACCTTTCACCGTGCCTTTGGTCAATCATTTTTACACCGCAGGGATCGTATTTTTTCGATCCTGAGAATACTTGTTGTCGGCAACGAGCGATCCTTTGCGGCTTTAGGATCAACCGCGGGTCGAGAGATCCGAGCAAAAAACCGGCAGACCGTTTTCACTCGATTGTAGTTTTCGAGAACACTACAGAGCCGTGTTTTCCCTTTCGTAACGAACTACATACACCGTTCGACGGAAACCAACGAAATAGATCACTTTGGCTGGCAATGATTTCGCGACACTGTCGTGCATTCGTGTGATTCACGATGACACGGTATATTTCTGGAAAAGAGAATTCGGTTTAGTATCGTGACGAATCGAAACGATTCAAGGACACCGATCCCCTCTTTAAGGTCGAACACGCTGGAGGGGTCAGAGTCGCGATGCCTCGACAACTCGGTCAGACCGTTAGCTTTGCTACTTTCAAGGCCTCTCGTCACTGGACCAACGTAGTACAGCGATTCCTTCGATCTCTTCTGTTCGTTGTGTATACGGTACCAATTATTATAGCCACGACACGTCTTGTTGATCGGCTTCGTTAACTGATTCGATATAGATAACACGTTCGACCGTCGTCGATTGCTTCTCAACTTTTACACCATACGTTTTCGTTCGAATCGTACGGTATGCGTGTGCGATACTCGATCGGGGAACGTAAGCGTGGTTTCCTCGAAGACTCGGTAACTCGGTCGAACCGTTATGTTTGCGCATTGGAAGACCTGAATGGGCTCTGGCCGCATCATCCTTGGTTTCCTCGATCGCTTCCCTGCGCGAGCTGAAGAACAATCGTTAAAACCGGCAAACCATTTTTAAACGATCGTCCCATAAACTGTTCTCCACCGCGTCTCGGTGAAAATAGACACCAGTCGTCTTTCAATTACGCGTTCGTACTCTATCCAGCACACCGTTATTTTCGCATGGGGCATTAGCAGCACATTTGCATTCAATTAGTACCTACATGCCTGTTCGTCGATGCGTGTTGCTCCTCCTTGTTTGTCCGTTTATCGCCCGATCGAGCCAGATTTCAAGGTGAAGTGCACACGGTGAAAAAAATCCCCCACCCGTTCGTAAAGAACAAAGGAAGACGTCGATCACACTTTATACTTGACGAAACATTCAGACACCGTGAACTCGTCCGTCTCGCGAAACGAACACGGTGTGTCCCACGAAGTAATTTCATGTCCGCCAGCATCGTCGATCGTCGGTTAACCGTGGAACAGTAGTAGTAATTTCATTTACGACAACCGGCGAATCGCGTACGACTTCGCGGAGAAAGCGTGTACGGAAATAAAACGAGTTTCGCGCGCGTTTCGAATTCTTCGTCCAACCGATCCTCGTGGCTCGACACACGACGGCACCGAATATAATCGTTAATTGCGCGCTAGGCAAAACCTGATACGTTCTACTTCGCGCAACGAGCATATATACCGAATACGGGAACCGTGATACTTACAGCCGAGATAGATGGAGACCCCCGAAAACAGAAGAAAGAGCAAAAACGCAGCGAGCACGCAACACCCGCAACGGTACTGTCCGCCGAGTTTCCTCGTGAATCGAATGTCGCTGTCCGACGACAGAATCGAGCTCGGTGTCCCGGCACGGCTGAATCTTCTGGTGCTCACCGTGCTAACCGAAATCTGAAAGAAAATATTCAATGTCTTTGGGCGCAATCTGAACAGACCGGTCGAAGCCTTTCGTGTGCTGCTTCAGACTTCGCTTCCCTTGGTTAGCCCCTGAATAACGTTTGGAAAGTTTCCCCCCCGGTTCTTCTCGTTCTGCGGCCAGATTCGTACAGACGCGAAGCAACCGCATTACCAAGATTTCTCGGCGAGACACGACTTGTATTAGCAATCGTCATACTTTCATCAACGAAACGAAAAGACGGATAATTAAATTGAAAATTGGTCGAGACTACTGGGTGTATTCGGTGTGTCCCTACCTTCGACAGACGAAAACCGATTAGAATAGCGATTTGCAACCCATCGGAAAACACGTTTCGCCCCAATTGCGCGTTGCATCGATCAGCAGCGAACCAGATTCCACAGGAATCTCGAGCCTAGAGGTGAGCGTTTCGCGAAGTAATCGTCGTGATTCTCGAAATGATGCGTTACGCAACCGTGTTTCGCACGGTCGATCGGGCTCGGCCGTACGATTTCACGCGTGCTTTCGCGTCGAAGCATACACGACACACGATGTAGATTCGGTACACCGTGTACCAACAGTTGCATTCAGCGTCGAGCCTATCTTCTGTAACGGCGCTCGCGCGTCCAAGTCGGCAAGCATCCGTGTAATCGTCCTGGCATCGATGCACGTGCACCTCCGCCACCAACACCGACTCGGTTCGTCCTGTGTGTACAGTGAGAGTCAAAAGAGAGTATACACTTTGGAAGTATGGGATTCATTCATATTTATTTCTCTCAATTTAGAATCTAACATTTCACATAGATGCTGTTTTAGATCGAGAACTGGTAACTGTGGAGAAGGACTTAACTGGTTGTAAGTGTTTTCCAGCAAACAATTTCCAATCACCTTTACTGTATATTTTGGGTCGCGATCTCACTAAAAGACCCATGAATACAGTTGCAGCTGAATTCGATTTTAAAATATTTAAACATCCAAATTTGCCCATAGTACCATGAATAAAAATCCAGTACATTCGTCACGTTTAATGATATTTACCAAATTTTCTGGTTATATAATCGAATTTTTTGGCTGCCTATTCATCCTGACAATGTTGAGAAAATCATATCAAACTGTATTACTCCATTACAATAGTAGGATGCAACAATAAGTGTATACTCAGTTTTGACTCTCACTGTATATGTATGTACGTGTGAATGCACGATGCGGCACAAAGGGGCCTACGCCCTCGTTCAAATGTTACGTTCGGCACACGGTGTCCAAAGGGGGGACCGTAGCGATGGGTCGTGCGCACCTCTTCCCTGTCAATCGGATGAATCGTCAAGGAAACGTACAAAAAATCTGGAGCCTGTAATTGGACCTAAAGGAAAAAATAGGGAATAAAAGGAAGAAAACTGGAACATCTGTATATCCATTTATCGTGTTCGAACGAATCGTCGATATCGGCTCGAAAGAAGGAATCCACGGGTCACCGAGCTCAGAACAGGCCGAGTAAAAGTCACTCCGCGAGGGTCGATTTCGTTTTCTCACGGGACTCGACGTCCTACGCTCGTAGTCACGATGATCGCGTTTATAGGCGCACAGACGCGAAAGCGGTTTACCAATATCTCCAGCCCGTTTAATGAGATATTATCTCTCGCTCGATCTCTGTTTTCGATCGTTTCCGTAGTTCTCTGGCCAGTCGACGGGAAGCGAGCATTATCTGATTATTACTTAAACGGGGACACACAACATAATATTGTATATATGTGTACACGGGGTCCCAATAGACACCTATTAAATTGATAAAGGCCAGAGCAACGGTCGATTACTAGGCGGTTTATAGAACGATTCTGCTGCGAATGCGTATGAAATTTGTACGAAGGGCCGATAGGATTATCTTGTCGCGTGTAATGAACGGGAATTCATGGATAGTTCTACCGATCGAAACAAACAACGAATCGATTTTCCTCGTACACGTTACGTAAGCGAACGCGATCGAAGCACAAGGGGTGCCTTTGCCTGAACAATGGCGCGAGGATATTACGAAAGTCGAATGAAAGTTTGAGCACGAAGCCTTTGTGTACTTTCAACCTAGTTCGATAATAGTCTTTGCCGACAGTTTCCGTAGGAAACGCTCGTTTAATGAACCGTGGTTGCATAATATTAATATATGCTCGTGTCCCTTCCTATCGGTTCCGATAAATCGTTAAACGTGCAGAGTCGCGAGATCGTTAGTACTCGAGACGAGTTTTTCGCGGAACGCGTTCGCCAATGACGAGTGTACCAAAAGGTCAACAGACTCGAGACTTTTCTTGTACAGGGAACAACAACTTTCTGATGAACGGCGGCTCGATGATCCACGAAGCGCGACGGACACTAATGCTACTTACATTTCGAGATGAAACAGACGGTTTCTCATTCAGAGGACGTTTCGAGAACAGGCGAAACAAAAAACCGGCCAGATCCGGTTGGAAAGCAGAATTCAATGTCGCGGTGAACGATGAAACATATGGCAGGTGATCCGACGAAGAGATTAGGACGCATTCGGCCATGTTCCCCTACCGGCCTATGGAACGCATCCGTTAATGGACACGGTCAACGACTTTCGAGCCAAGACAAATCAAGACACAGCGCGTTAGGAAAGTGCTTTCCATGGAGTGATGTTTTCGTGAAAGTTCCTAGTCGATTCTCGTTACAGAGAGAGTCCCCCCCTTTCTACCCCCGTCTCGTCCGTCTATTCCGATGGAATAGGAATTGGAACGTAAGAATGGAACGTAAAAGCCGATTGTTCTCGACTCATAGCTTGTATCGGGCGAATCGTCGCGTCGTCCGCGAGACAGTTTTTCCGATTCCAAGGTTCCGAGTAAACGACGATCGTAGATTCGAGCCGCGAAAAGAAACTGTGTCGATGACCCCCGCGCTAAAGGATCCACTAACTTCCATTTAGCTCAGGGGACCCTGTTCCTCGTGTCTTTCTTCACCGTTATTACCGTTACTCTAAACGTCCACCGAGCTACCTTTCCAAAAGAGCTGGAATCTAAGAACGAGTTTTGCTCGCTTTAAATTACAATCGTTTACCGGTGCACGGTGGCTGAGTCGCGCGCGCGCGCGAGCTCGCACGTGCGTGCAACCAACCATAGAAGACCGAGCAATAAAACGTACTCGTTATCGCCGCTCGGTTTATCCGTTGGCACGATAATCGTTTTCTCCGATTAAGAGGAATTCTAGCACGTCGACACCGCGTCCGCTTTCTTTTATCTATCGTGGATGTATCTCGAAGCACCACCCTCCACCGACCGAAATTATGGACAAGATGCCTGCGCCCGATACCGAATAATAATAGCAAGTATTGCTCATTCGAGCTCGGTGTACAAACGAACACACAGACACAACGGATAGAAACTTTCCGTGTATTCGACACGAACGGTCGCGGGGAGCACGTGATAAATGTCATTTCACGTATTCGAGCGGAATACCAATCGAGCGATTGGCCACGACTAGCAAGGTAACGGTATCGAGAAGAGAGCAGATGATGAAGGCCCAACCCAGGTAAACCCAACCCAACCCACCTAACGCATCGTGTGCTTTATTCCGGCCAACCTAGATCTCTACGTCAAGTGCGTAGGTATTCGGTGGATCGTTCGCCATTTGGGGTCAATGGAGAACAAGGTCAACGCGTCTGCGGAGAAATGAGGCCCCGAAACGCGATAGCTTCCTCGTTGGATAGAAAACACGGATGGAAATCGGCAAGAAAAAATTTTCATTTAACAGAGTTATTACAACCACGTGCAACGTACTCAGGAAAAATGATTCCCAATAGTCATTAAATTAAAACCATATTCATTCTATTTAAACGAATGTATCTTCAAGAGCGTGTCGACTAATTTTCCGAAACTCTCTATCGAATATAATAGCATCGACGAAAAATATAATATAAACAGATTTTTCTGCGCCGTTGCACTCTCGTGGAACACAATGGAGTTCTGTCGACACGCATCGTTTCTCTTCGATTTTACGTTTTCTTTCGCGTCTAATTTCACACAGGGGCCAACCGGTTAATTAATCGCGAGTCTCGGGAGCAAGGATGTAAAGAAGAACCCGCGAGCAGGGGGAAAGTGCGCCACATTCGTCTCACCTTCGAATCCCACGAGCTCTTCCGCTTGTGTTCCATCGCGACGGTCATTTTCGAGTCGTTGAAACGATTTATTTCTGCTCCGTCAACGATCCTTTGGTCTGTTCGCCGCGTGCAATCGCACAAACATCGTGCTGTAACTGAATTCTCTCTCGATCGATGATCGCGACACTCCGTGTACACCGTAAAAAACCTTTAATTCGTCCACGTTGAACGGAATATCTTCGATAATCTTCGGTGTCTTTCTAAACGAAACAAAATGTCACCGATACGATTATTACTCCCACCGTACGTCCGATCCGTCCCCCACGAGGTCAAACTCGATACTGTTTCATTCCTGATCCTGATACCTGTACAAAAGAAAGAAAATAACAAGGAAATAACACTTGAGCGGTGCGCGTAGTGGAGTACAACCTAAAGGATAGGGTCGTACACAGAAAAAAAATGCTACAAGTAAAGTTAGTACATTTTTCCCTTGACACGACCAACGATAACAGACCCATAGAAAATCCCCCGCAACCGATATAAATATACGACGTACCTGTCTTTTCCTTTCATCCACTCTGTACCCAAGAATTTCGATTCTGACCGCGGACAATCGGTTCTGAACGACTCGATCGAAATATCAATTATTACGGTGTTTCGAAATATCATCACTGACATCCAGCGATCAACGAGAAAACGGTTCGCTAGACGACAGGTGCGCGAATGTAATCTTAGCTGAAGCTGCCGCGCGCGCCGTCGCGGAATAAAGTTCGCGCTCGACCCCGAGAACCGAGAAGGCAGAAACGGGCGAGGCGATCGGCGACCCGGCGTTCTCAACGCTCTTCTAAACAACCGATTTGATCGTCGGGACCGTAGAAGAGAACAATTTCACCGTGCAAAGTCGAGACCGACTGCGAGACGAGAGATTGTCCCGAACGAAGCTGTGATTGCCAGGGGAACGGAGAGACCCTCTCGCTACCTCGATCCCCCTGCTTCTTGGATGCACTTTCACGTCATTACCGGTTCTCTGCAAGACGCGTCACGAGCCGACGCGGTGCGCCGCGACGCAAGGCGCTACTCTAAAGTGCATTCCACGAGGACGTAGTAATTCGGTTGTGTACAGCTGTAGGGAACGACTGAATGACCAGGTGGTCGTTTCTTTTTTTTTTTTTTTTTTTTTTTTGATAGGCAATATGTAGCTTCAGTCGGCAATCTCTTGTTTCGATCGTTTGTTCGTGGTCTCGTCGAAAGATCAAAATATATTTCACCTTTTATCTACGCTAAAGAACCGCGAACACCGCAAAATCGGTTACGTTTAGAAAGCGTTTACCGTTACCGCTACGATCGATAGAAAATCGGCAGAGCGTTGAAATCTCGATCGTTCTACATAAATAGTGTCTTTCGTGACCCCGAGTGAGATAACGCGCGAAATAGTTGCTATGCTTGATAATCCTCGTTGGTTCCCTGTGTTTGTTAGAAAGATCGTTCACTATATCTAGTCAGGATTCACAGCGTACGATGCGCTATACCGAATTCCGTGAGCCGTCTGACGCGATACGAATGGAAAAAAGGATATTTTTAACTGTCGACCTGTTTGGGAGGAATTTGACTGCACCCGAAACCGCTTTTTCGAGGTAGCTCTCAAGGGTAACTAGTCTGAATCTGGATTCCGTGAAATAACGCTGCTATCACCTTCTCCGATGCAGGTTCTAGCGACTGTCAATGAACCGTGTTCTATAAAGCGCGTCGAAGGTTTTTTTTTTTTTCACTATTCCACTCGCGGATGATCGTATTTCAAGGGTACACTGCGGATAGAAATTAACGCCGTGATCTTCGTGAACGGTATCAATTTCGTATATACGCTACTTTTGTAACCGAGTCACAATTGTATTTTTTTTACGTTGAAAAAACGTGATCATTGCACCATCGTTCTCCACGCGCACTAACACGAAAAACACGCATAAAACGAACTGTATAACCGGCATGATCGCACTTTGTGCAGTAAAAGACGAACGGGCAAACAAATCTTTGACACGCAAAAGTTATTCGACCGATAAAGAATCACTGGCGGCGACGAGTGCGCGCGTTGGAACGTAAATTTTAAAGGTGCTCCACTTTTCAGACCTACCTTCGTTTCGTTCCTAATTCTCCTGTAAAGTTCAACGAACGGTTCTTGCACGAATTTATGCCACGACACGAACCATTTCTTTCCCCTTTATCGTTTTTCGGATCGGTCGGAGTCGAGAAGGGGCCGTTAAGCGCACCCGCGGTGGTATTCACACTGAGATCGATGCAAGATCACGATTTCGTTTCACTCCGAAGAATATTCTCGGTTCGTACGACAGCTGTTGCTCGTACCGGAAACGCTTCCCTTCCTCGACCGTCGGGAAACGTCGACGGTTTCACACTCTATGTAACGAACCCGAGCAGCTCACTGTTCTCGAAACGATCCTCTTCGTGTCGCGGAAAGAAGTAACCGTTAACGTGACAGCCGAACCTTCAAGGAGAGAGGTACACGCACGAATGTGCGCTGCTCGACAGCCGACCGCCGATTAATGACCCGGCGAATGTATGCGCGCCCTTCTCCGTCCCACAAGTTCGTCTCAGGTATACCGTTTACCTGCTCTCGGACTAATTGTTTGGATCCATATACGTACTTAATAAATATTACAATTTTTTTTACAAATACGAGTGGTATCCCCTCCCCTTTTATCAACTTCCTATCTCTCGTTCCTTCTTCGCGGAATCTCTCTAGTTTTTCATCTCTATCGCTATATGTATATTTTCTATTTCTTTTGATTGAAATTTTACGCACTACTAATTGTTTGGATCCATATACGTACTTAATAAATATTACAATTTTTTTTACAAATACGAGTAGTATCCCCTCCCCTTTTATCAAGTTCCTATCTCTCGTTCCTTCTTCGCGGAATCTCTCTAGTTTTTCATCTCTATCGCTATATGTATATTTTCTATTTCTTTTGATTGAAATTTTACACACTAAAAATTTTCCATCGCAACCGATTTCGCTGGACGCGTGGTTTCCTTTAATGCACATATCTCCGTATAAAAGCGGCGAGTGTCTCGCGAAACCGGTGCTGTAACTGATCTCCTTACGTAGCTGAATCCCGAATACGGGTGTCGTTTCGAGGATCGACCAAAAAACCTGGAAACCGACCGTGGCGCGAGAAATACGTTTCTCGATGCTTTGCTAATGCAATCGGACAAGATAGTTACGCGGTCTGAAGTTGGAATTCTAAACAAAAAAGGCTTACGGTCTCGGTGTAGAACGGCGTTAACAGTCGCCAATGTGGTGTAACCTGCTGGATAATCCTAAAATACAGATGGAAATCGATCTCCTAACGCGTTTCCGAGTACTTAATCGTTCAGTTTATTCGTTTGGACAATTAAACGATACATATACATGGTGTGTACGAATTACGTGTCTCTCTCTCTTAGGTCTAATACATCGACTGCGATCGAAGGCGGGCACAGGGCATCGAACAATGCAAAGCACTCCGCCGCGCCACGATTGCGTAGCTACGTTTAATGATAATAATAAAAATTAAGTATAACTACCCTGTAAAATACGTAATGCGAAAGTTTCATTGATATTCGTTTATATTTATTCGTGATTGTAATTCACTGATACTCGAGAATGATACTATTCGTTTCGGGGTTAGCGGTATAAATAGGTAAACGCACTCTGCAATTCAATAGATTCGCAAGTTTCGGAGGAGATCTATGATATTATTGGTTAACAGGCAATCGACAGTGTCGGGCGATGCGTCGTTTTTTTTTTTCTTCTTCTTCCGGACGACACACGCGATACCTGTATCGTTCGATTTTTACTGTAAAACCAGGCCGAATGAATGGCGTACAGGAAAATATCGGTGATGACTGTGACGCGCTGATAAAACGATCGTCGTGTCGCATCGACGAGGGAAACTTTACTGCTGATATCGGTACACCGTTTTCGTACTTGGAAATTGATCGGTTCGACCGCAAGAATTCTAACAAAAAAGCATCTCACGATCGTTACGATCGCTGCACGTTCACAGTTTTCAATCGACACCCATCGAAGTCGCGAGTACTTTCATCCTTTCGAGTGTACGTACGTTCGTATGCGCACACCAATGAACGAGTGGTGAGTAGGGGCAGAGGCTATCCGCTTCGAATCATGAAACCGTGAAATCTACGCTCAAGAATCCCTCTACCATAGGCATGCGCATAAAATCGATCAGCTTTTCACGTGGAAATATACATTCGTCCCGTCGAGATAAAGTAATTCCAATACACGTCGCGGTAACGACCATGCAAGCTCGTTAAAAATTCGTCGGTACATCGACACGCGTGTACCGAGAAAACGGTTCGAGCAAACCCCACCACCTTTTCTCCGATAAAGTGGTTGTGTTATCGGTGACAAAATGATGTCACGTAATACGTTAAAAACCAAACGACGGTCGCCCCTAACGGAGGTCTTTCGTAGAAGTAGAATCGTGAAATGCAACGACTATGTATAAAATGCGTAACGCGATGTTCATCGTTCAGTTTCGAACCGGCGAACACCGGTCTTGATTAGGTCGCGTAAACGTAGAAATTCAAAGGAAATCGAACGATCCGCTGTTTGACGCGTGAACGAGAATACGATGGTCCCTAAAATAAAAACAGAATGGATTCGACTTGGTCTCTGCGTACGTGAAACTGAGATATATTGTCGTTCGGATAATATACGCCTCCAGTTGCTGCATCGGTAAAAAATCATTTCTATAATGATCGTACGAGAAACGTTTGTTTTGGGTACGTATGCGCGAGCGCGACGAGAGACGCGCCTTAACTTAAAATACTGTCGGACATGGTACACGTGACGTTCGATTCGCACGTTCAATATTTTTTTCTCACCCTGATCCTTAGAGCTACGACAATAAACGTGGCATCATATCATTCTCACAACGTATTAACAATAATTTCGTAGATATAATACGTAAAAAAAAAAAAAAGGGAAGGTATAAAATCGATACCACTTGGTTTGTTGTGTGATTCACGGGGCTCGTCGAACGATAAATCAATGTTAACCGTTTTCGATGTCTCGATACGTAAACGGCGTTTGACCACCAGTTCCAAGTTCCCCTATATCTTTTTCTATTCTTTTTATTATAAATATCTAAGGTACGACATTGGTGAGTTATACATACATACATACACATGTATATACTTTTTTTTCCTGTACATATATCTGTATGTATACATATACATATATCTGTATATAGCGTAACCAACTTCATATTAGAGATCGTGGTTCTGAACGTGTATTACAGATGTGCGTGTTTCAGTTCCTGTAGTTTTTAATACACGAGTACATGGAAGGTAAAATACACGGATACACGGGTATTGCAATACACGGGTACGAGTCATCGCACGTCAAAAATCATGGGAAATTGCGGTCATAGTCTTCCACTTTTTTTTTTTCAAATTTTGCAGCAATTGTATCGTTTTCCCAAGGAAAACTCTAAGCATTTCATTTGACTATCCCGGCAATTTGTAGTTTTATCACCTATCGTAACATGTAGGAAGGTATATGTACATTTTACACTACCTAAATTTGATTAATTCTTGGGAACGCGATGGAAATGCTGCAAAATTTGGAAAAAAAAAAAGTTGGGTGACTATAACTGCAATTCCCCCTGCGTTTTGACGTAGAATGGCTCGTATCCGTGTATTTCCCTAACCGTGTACCCATGTATTTCACTATACATATACCCGTGTATTACAAACTACACGGACTGAAACGCAAGTACAGTAATTACACGTGTACACGTGTATTTAGATACACGTGAAACCGAGATCTCCACTTCATATATCTAGGATTCAAAGCAGTCATTCTCGATACTGCAATGATCGCATAAAACGATTTCGTACCCTGTCTCTTTCGTGTAAAAACAAGCTACAGTTCTTTTTTTTCTCATCCTCTCCTTCTGTGTGTAACGCGTGTATACTTGTGTGTATGTGCCATGGTAGTGTTTCTGCGATGATCGTTCGCGCATAGGAACTCGTCGTTCCACAGTTGTTCCGTCAAAATTCTTTCGATCTCGATCGATACAGGGTGAGAGTAAAACGACGATGCTATTTAGTCTGTATTAAAATTACTTAAGAGCCTCACTAGTCCGTTTCTCCGAGGAGGATTGCTGCTGGCACGGTTTCAGAGATCGGTGTCGTACCAGGCTGCGACCTGATTGTTATCTTGCGGCGGTGCAGGAAGCTCTTCTAAATGATCGAAACTCAGGTCACCCTCGTGCGCTACGTCCATAGTGTCCATCGCGCCATACGTCGACCCTCCACCTATTTCCAACCCTTGCATGGAATCTACTGGTATCTGACCATAACCTGTTCCGATAGAAAATTCATGATAAACCCAACGATTCGTCTCATCAATCGATTACGTGAACCGACAAGAACTACGTTGCTAAAGATTCTGCTAAAAGTTTCTTCAACCAGTAGAGCACAACTTTACTAAGTATTCGTAAAAGATTTTCTCGCCGAGGAAAAACCATTCGTTAATTCGAGTAATTAATAATAATCAGTAGGAGAGAATGCCACGTGAAAGCAAATCAATTTCTCTTCCTCCTCCTGCTCCTTCGCCACGAAGAAATGAGGGGAGACTAGACATTATTAATACATGAAACTACGTATGCGTAAAATAAAGCGAACAGCTACGCGAAGTATCCAATTAAGGAGCAGCAGACAGAATGATTCGAATGGCTAGAATTAAAACTATGATCTTGAACGCGCAATTTGTCGCGTTGAATCGCGATGCACGAAAACGAAACATCTTGTTTTACTTGCAGCAAGTACTCGATCACAATATAACCGCACGCGTTCGCGGGAAACACTTATCTAATTACTTACGAATACGTATCTATGCTTCTTCCCATCATAAAGTACGTTCAATTCGGAAACGATAACGAAAATACGTCATGCATTAAAAATTGTACGAGTGAGAAATTACAGAACACGTTCTAAAGCCTGTTGACAGTTTTTACGAGAAACAAAAGGTGCATTCGCAAAACGTGCATTACTAGTAATATTTACAAAACTCAACGAGATACGTGTACGTAGCGACCAGAGTTCAATCAAATCAAACCTATAAACAATTAAAAGCGTGTAAACATGTAGTGGTTAACAATAAAGCAGAGAACAGTACGTAAGAGCTGAGTGTCACCTATGTTACTGCGAGATACTGTTGATAGCCTGTATTTTAATATAAGTCCGTGGGTTAAGCTGCTGTTAAAACAACATAGAATTAAAGGCGTTACTTTCCTCTTGTCGTCGATAATATTAAGGATCGAACGGGTTATCGGAAACTGTTTCAAATCCGTAACATAGAGGTAGAAAAGAAATGGCACGAACACATGTGTACCCTCATCACCATATTATATGTAGGCACAAATCTGTTCCCCGATGCAAGAACAAGGAAGACGCGTTCGTTCCGACGAAAAATTCTCAGTTACGTAAAGAATACGGAGAATCGAACCGTGAATATCGCGTGGACAGAAATTTACATATGAAACTACGTCCGATCGAACGTTCCAATCGTTTGAAAGGCATTATCGAATGAAAAGGATGACGCTAGTGACTTACCTTGCGGCTGATACCCTCGACCTCCGTGGCTGCTGCTGTGTACGCTAGGGGGTCCTTGTCCATACATACCGTCATAGCCTTGATCAGGGCCAAGCATGTCCTGAAGATTAGGTAGCTCAGATCAACACAAAACGTATCTTCTGTTGCAGGTGTGTCTTTAACACCCCGTCGAGAGTATACGTCGAGACATACTTGTCGCAGTATCATCGGTATGTCGCGAAGAAAATTAGTAAAGTCCGCGGTAACGATACAACGTCGATGGGTAACTCGTTTCTAGTGTTCAGGGGTAATACCGCGATAATATCGTCTTTGTTACTCATTGTCAGCCTGAAAGGGTTGAAACACGAATGGAACGAAACGCATTCTCATGCATAACGTAACGTTGCAAACTGAGGATGATAATAAAGTTATCGTTGTACATATATGCGTGTATTACAGTTTCCATTGCTCCATTAGGCACGATTCTGGCAGTCGTTTCCCGTTTACGAACAACGCGGCCTTCGATTCGAATGCATTTATATATGTACAATTGTCTTTATATAAGCGAAAGCATCGATGTAAAAAACGCGAATGTACCAACGGATTTCGCGGTCAAACTAAAAAATATTACGCGGCAAAATATATGAAAGTTCGTCGACAATCTTTCACGACGTTAAAGCTACATTCGTGCTTTTCGTTGGGTTCATTTATCTTTCAAACTTGTTTAAGTTGTGCAAACTGGAATAATGGATAAGTGACATTTACTTCAGCGCACTACCTAATCGTACACTTCTAGACTTACATGGCGGGGCAGATTACGTATGCAAGTATGTACCTGCTATTACTAGGTACTACGTAAGGTATAATATTCGCTATCGCTATCCCGGTTTCGTGGCTTAATTTACTTAAACACAATGTAACAAAGTGATCGTACAGAAGAAAGTTAATATTTTTCATCGGTACCGAACATTTCGTGACTTGACGTACAAACCTGATCGCTGAAACGTATTCGAAAGTTGTATAGCATGACAAAGGAAATCTGTAAGGTGCATATTCTTATTGCAGCAGCACATACCGTCAGAGGAAAGATACTACGAGTTACGGTACCTGTAGGTCTGGTGGCATCGCGAAATCACCATTGTTCCACAGATTTGTGTCCTCGCGGAACAGAGAGTTGGTGAGTTCCATGGAAAGTCGCTTCTTGTATTCCTGTGGTTTGTCCTCGCTCATGCGGAACAGAACGGCTGCTGCGTAGGTGGCAACACCTTCGTTCCTCGAATGAAGTAGCTCCGTCAAAGGAGCAGTGGCACCTTCTTGTTCAATCATCTCGGCACCCTCTTTGTCTGCGGCAAGTTCACAAAGTACTCCGGCTGCTACGCGCTGAATATTCTCGATCTCGTTAAACAGCAGCTGCGCAAAGAAAAACATTTGTGTCCGATCGAATCAGCGGCAGAACAACAACAGGCGAAATGTCTATTCGAGGAAATTTACAGACCTGCACGAAAATCGGAATCACGTTCTGCGATCTGATGATCACCCTATTGTGCGATTCTCTTGCGAGAATATGAAGCGCTCCTACGGTACCCTCTACTATTTCCTCCATGCGTACACCACCGTCCATAAATGCGCCTGATGCCTGCCGGCTACCGGTGCTCGCAACGGACGACCGTTGCTGCTAAATAACAAACACGATTGTATCAGGCATGATAGGAGATTGATGTGTCATCGTTGCTAGAAAGTATCGAAGAAAACCCGATGATATTTACCCTTTGCGTCTCGGGGAAAGCACGCATCAGGAGTCGCACGAGGTGATGAATCGCTCCGTGGTCACGAAGCGGCCCGTGATTTGCAGGGCAGAGCGCCAAGTTACGAATCAATCCAATCACCGCTTTAACCAGTGGCCAACGCGAGGGTGGATGTAACAGTTTCACTATGACTTGGATTCCATAATTTAAGCGGATAGAATTCTGCGCCGTTTCAGCTTCTCCGTGGCGCGAGGTTAAATGACGAAGCGCGCATACCGCTGGTTCGCTGATCTCTTCTCGATTATCCGCGTAAATGATCGTACGCACCAGTGCATCGATGCCCCCCACTTGACATACCGTTACTTTATTGCGTTGATTGTTGCACGTAAGATTCGACAAGATTCCGGCAGCACACGTAATTACATTGACATCGGTAGAACTGAGCACCTGTACAAGACTTTGCAGTAATACTTCCAATCCGTCAACTTTTGTGCCAGCATCGGACAAATTTCGTAGCGTCCACAAACAATTCTGTACGAGTCTCTGACTCGGATTGCCGAGATGCATCGAGAGCGCTTGCATGCCACCCGCATCTACTATTGCCGGTTTATTGCTAGGGCAAACGGACAATACCTTCAAGACTCTCGAGGTCGTCCACAGAAGCTTCTCGTAAACGTACGAACGCATAATGCGTACCAGCTCTATCGGCCCTTGAGAAGCTAATATAATCAACTTGCTTTCCTGATTACCGTATGCCAAAATTTGCAGACAATCGGTCACTACAGCTAAAAATTTTTCGTTGTTTCGTTGAAGTAACGCAACCATTTTCTGCAAACCTCCGGCTAAACGCACGGTTGTTTTCGACCCATCCTGATGCAGCAATAAATTGTGAAGGGTCGTTATGGCGTAAAAGAGCACAGACTCCATCGGAGAGCTTAAAAGTTTAACGAGGGCTGGTATACCACCGCTTTTGAATATGGCCAGCAAACCTTGACTATGCTGCGATAAATTGTGTAACGTGCCCACCGCTGCTTTTGTCGACTCTAGATCGTTGCTATTCGAAATGGCATGAACCAACGCGTCTACCATTTGAGAACTGTTCATAATGGCGTGACGAGACGCTTCTTTTTTGGAAAGTTGGTGAACCATTATAGCCGCTTGAGACACGACAACCTGATCCTCGTCATTCAACAGTTTAATTAACTCAGGTATAGCGCGTGTAGCTAAATCAGCGTCATCTTGATAATTTATCAAATTGACAACCGCGTGTTTTAACATCTGACTCGGCTCTGCCAGTCTCTGCACAGCGGTGGATTGTGCTGGATCAAACTGAGTAGAGGGAATTTCGATACCTTCTTCCAATGTTTCTGGAAACATGGCAGCACGTACACGTTGAGATCTTGTATGGCTCAGTTGTTGATTCATTTCGTCAACTTGATCCTGAGTGAAACCCTGAGCGAATCCCTGATCCAAATCGAACATTAACTGATCACCTTCCATTTCGTCATCCTCCTTGCCAGACAAGGATGGTGCCTGGGTGACGGCACCGGAATGAATTCCAGAGTCAACCATGTATGAGTTTTGCTGCCACATCAAAGTCTGCTCCTTGGCAGAAACCATGGGCAGATCGCCCGGTCCCTGATAGGTCCCATGCGACACTGTAACACGAATAGTACAAAGTATTGCAAAAGTTTGACAGAGAACCGAAACTTCTGTGTCTCACGAGAAGATGTTACTTACTTGGTCGGGACTGATTCGAAGACATTTGATAACTCATGGCTTCTGCAGGCGAGTCTATCCACACCTGAAACAAAGAAATATTGTGACGTATACAGGGGTTAGATGGAATGAAATATTGTATAACGCCACGATCATAATTCTCACAGAGTTATAGTGTGATCACTGCAACATATTGGAACACAAGTTCCAAATATTAAAAAAAATTCTTTTATTGTGCAGCTTGAACCTACAGCCCTGAATACCGCAGCATCAATCGATGCAGTCGTTCGATGTGTTAATTTGTGACCATGCTGTATCTCTGCGAGGACTATAAATGCACAGGTGTGAGAGGAAGTCTCACGTAACGTTGAAAATTTAATCGCGTTTTATATTTGTAGCCCGTATGCGTAGCGGAAAGAAATAGCGAAAAAGATTCTATGAATCCGGTGTGCACCACCGTTTGCTGCACCCACGACAAAAAAAAAAATGGTCTGGAATTTCACGAAACAAACGTTATTCGTCTCGTCCGAGTGTTTAAAGACGCCAAGACGCGCATCGGGTCAGTGCACCGTATCGCGAAGAATGGAAGGAGGATGAGACCGCACGGAATGTGGCCACAATCGAGAGATCCTTCTCTGTACGCGTCCTCGCAGCTTTCGCTATTGTCATAGAAGAACACGCACGACACTCGATGATGATTTAATATTGTACGAATATGGGAGAAAATCACGAAGCCATAGGTGCACACGAGGCGCGAACGATTTCAGACAGGCGAAGGTAGAAGGACGCGCGTGGGCGTGCGGCACAACAAAGCCGTCGAGAATGCAATGCATTACCATTTTCCGAGGATCCACGGGCTGCGGAGAGCGGAGAGTGAAGAGCGGAAGGGAAGTGAAAACGGAACAACAGGCAAAAGATGCATTAACTACGGTATACACTGGCAGAAGAGAGAAAAGAGACAGAGAAGGAACACTTTTGACACACCCAGCGTAAACACTGCCGTCACGGAAATGACAAGGTTTTTCCCCCTATCGGTCGACGTACGACGTAATGGCGAACGATCAAATTCTACTGTGCTTACTGTATCGCGAGGATCGGCCGAAGGCGATTCCGTGAATCGTGTTCGAACGAGGACACGGCTGACTCGATACCGCGACGCTCGATCCACCAAATTCCGTTTTGCCCCCAACAACCAAACACTTCTTCGCCTATCTCTTCTCGCCACGGAGCTCACTTGGCCTGTCTTCGCTCGGATCAGTCAACTAAAGATGGCGGACACCGACGCGCAACCTTCGACGCTACCGCCACCTGTCGGCCATACTGATCCGAAGCTGTGTCGTGTGCTCACTATATCTTCGCGACGCAACCTCGATTAGCTGAATGTCTCTAGGAGGGTATTTATCGATTTTTACCCCTTACAAATACTCGATCCCCATCCAACTACCCTCACTCTTCATCCCCGGCTTCTACATTTCTTTAACGCGCTCCATTCAAAACCCCTAGACACAATCACAACAGGAAAATATGAATTAATGCCGAATGTATTAGGATATGCAAGTGTATTATCTGGCAGAGAACGTAAGCACGATTCACCGAATCGTATGAGTAACAAATAGCATCCGAATGACGAATCGTTGATGCGAAAGTTACACGATGATTTTTCGTGTTCATGTACGTGATGGTTACTCGTGTCGTATATGTATACGTACGTACGACGTCGGCGAAAGGGGAATTCGAATGATTCGTCGATACGATGGTAGAAAGTATGCCAGGTGTTGAAACGAACAATGCCCTGTAACGTTCCAATATCTCGTGCCAGGAGACTGAAGGATATAATATCCTGTGGCCGAAGAGATCAATTTCAATTAAAAGACAATACCCCGGGACATGGCAATTTTTTAATGGATTCCACTGGATATTTGTCCATCCAGTGTGGCCGAGAATTTCTGATCGAGTCCGGGAGTAAATCGTGTAGCTGGACAGCTAGAATGCGCGCAAAATAACAGACACCGGAGTCCAAAGTAAAATATACTGGCCGTTTGGCGGGAACACCATTCGTTATCGGCTGCGCCCACGCCGATTAATTTTCGGATGCGTGATGGCGGTACCGTTCCTTCCGTTCCGTACAGTGATGATACATTTTACGTCAGCGCTGATATTGAACGGATAATCGGAAAAAAGGAAAACACGCTTCGAAATATATCATCCCGCACCGATATTTCAATATCGACGCGGTGCGTCCCCGAATAAATTTACACTCGTTCTTTCAATTAATAACGAGCAATAACCATGGTGTGCATAATTCGAAGAATAAACTAAACTGGTTACTCGTTTCTGGATATTGTTTCTTTCCTCGCATACGCTACACCGCAAACATTTCACAACGGTATACTTACGAAAGTAAGTACTCCACAAAGGGTAAAGCGATAAGGAGTTAAATTGCGTTACAATCGAAGGAATGGTTATTCTCGTTCCACGAAGATCCTCGATTTGAACGTACCAAATGGACGGACCTTTTCGTGGTGATTCATTGCGACAGGGAATACATGTATTTTTCTGGCGAAACATTCATTTATTTATATAAAAATCGACCACGACGTATTCTCGTAGGTTTCTCGTTTATTTACGAGCCTAAAGGGGGGAGCCTAAACGCGTAGCCCACGCCTCGCTATATCCGGAGGATACTGCCCCCCTTAACCGGATCGGCAAAGGCGAGTGTTTCGTGTTCGCGAGAAAAAAATGACGCGTAGAGAGATCATTTCGCGTTCGATCGGTTCGATCGAGAAAACTAGTTCCGGCAAGAGTGTCACGGAGATTTGATCTCGCTCGTTTGCTCCTCTCGATTCCTTAAATTTCGCGTAGTCCTCGAAAAACGCATGGGTACCATCTCGAAGGCGGACCAGGTAGAGCATAGAGGGTGACAGATGCCTGTTCAACGGTGTCTCCCCACCTACGCGGGGCATGCTGCTGACACGAGCGTTTATGTCTGCATAAATTCTCATTTGAGCCCCGATAATAAAGTAAGCACACGAGGGGGACGGACACACGTTGCTCGGTTCGGCGAGCACAGGCTGATACATAGATCACCGTTGAGCGTGGGGCAAGAAAAGGGGGGAAGAGTGGAACGGGGTTGAGAGACGGGGGCAGAGGGGATGAGGAGCTCAAGGGCTGAGAGGTTTGCAGGGGTGGAGGGACCAACGATGGCTAGGCATATATTTATGCGTATCTATATAAGGTACACACGAGCACGTTACCCCTCGAACGAGACACCACACAAAGCTGGACGCACGCACGTATACAACATTCTTGAGATGCAGCGTGCTTAATTATATGCATTCTGAGAATCTACGCGGATCTCCTTCGCCTAATGCCCGTGCGTATACCGCGATGCTTCGTGTTTACGCAAGGGCAGATAGGAGGAGGGCCACTGTTGCTCCGTTCTCTGCCCGATCCAGGAATGGTAAAACTCTATGAAAATCGTTATTTCTGTCTTGCACCGTCGATTACCGAGCATTCACGGATCCTAACGTATACATATATGCTCGTCGTATGGTTCACCGACGCATCGATACACGTACGTTGACGTTCGCGTCAGTTTAGGCTCTGAAACCCGAAGCGAAGGAAGCACGGGATGATCAAGCGGGCCGAAGTTTTGGTCGTTTTCCCGAAACTCTGAGGTGCGAAAAGGTGGAAATGACCACTCCGTTGTCCCACGGGAAGAAAACGAGTCAACAGAGAGAAGTTCCACGGACATGACCGTATGGTTTGGCGTAGTTGATGGAGTACCCTCGTGGCTAATGTCGAGCGAGGGCGGTGGATACAGTCAGCGTCGTGGACGACGAACGATGCTCGATTCATCACCCGGTTCAACGGAAGGGATTCACGCAACTCCCAAGACACAAACAAATCAAGGGAGTGTCGAAAATCAGCGGAGGTATCGTGAGAGGGCCAACGAATAGTTTCGCGCATCAGGATCGATGGTGACTAGCACTCCCTCGGGAAGTTATACGATCAAGGAAGTTGGTATACGTAATGCGCTCGTTACGATCGGAAAAGTTAAAACGTTTGCGCGTGTACCGTGAAATGTATATGTGTAGTTTTTTTTTTTCTAACTGCCGTTGAAACATCCAAGATAACTTTAATCGTTCGTGGACGATGAAGGAAATCAGGTGAACGGTCGATCGATCGGTAAAATCAGGTTAGGGATGCGCGTTAACATGGTCGAGCGTAGAGAAGTTTCACCGTCCGAGAAGATCGAAAAGAACAGGAGGATCGCTGTACGGTAATAGCATAGCAGAGTGGGAATACGAGTGAGCGCAAGGAATGGATATAGGGGACACGGAGATAGGAGGAGGGTGGAAGGGTGGCGTGGTACCGTGGTACCGTGGTACCTTGGTACCGATGCAGCTCGTTCGAGATGGTATCCGGGGCGTGCCTCGTGTACCGCGGCGTCGTCGAATCGAAACCCTTGGCGAAGGTCATCGAGATCAGCGCACTCGGCACGTCGATCAGACGATTTTGTGCGGCACACCTGCGCTCGTGCTTATCCGGTCTCTGCGGTGCGCGGCTCCTCGCAGAGCGCGGCCAACGTGTGGGTGCGGGCTGACAGCTCCTATCGGAATGGCTGGGATAGGTTATTGGAGGTCCTCAAATGGTATCGAACAAGGTTTTGCCGGAGCGCGCGGGAGGGGTGATAAGAGGGAGCGGTTTCTCTAAGTATCGCGAGAGAGTCACTCATACATACGCTGGTAGTACGCACACGTGGTTAACTATGCACCGTATACCTATACGAGAAACTCGGCGTAAGAGCCGCGTGTCCGTATACGAGTTTACCGGAGGGGGATTACCAGCACGATCGAAGATCGTCACGAACGTACGTCGATTTCCGTACGTGCGACTCCTCCTCGGTCTGGTCCCGCGATGTGTGCGTAAATCGAATGAACGCGCGTGTACGAGTCCGAGATTGGCCGGTCTACTCGATGCCGAGGGAAAAGATACTGCGGGACGTGGCCATCACTGATGAGCCAACCCACACCGTGCGACAGCGACAAACAGGACAGCACCGGGACAGGACAGGACCGTCTCGCTCGGTATCAGGACTGTAAATCCGGGATTTTATTCGCCCGGTATCGAGGTTTATAGTGTCCTCAGTAGTACGAGCCTGTGTGAGTCGTTCGGTCGCGTACGTGTGCCTGAGTTATGTTCAACCGTCTCGCGGCAAGACGTTTGCATATCTCCGCTCCTCCGCTCTCCTATACGAAAGCAACGTCGTCTCCGGGGGAGACGAGCCGAACAAGAGGAGGAGAAGACCAGAAGAGGACGATCCTCCCCTTCCCCCTCACCCTTTCCCCTCGAGAGAAGAACTCCGTTTACCTCGGTCCGTCATCCTCCGCCTCTGTCCGCGAAACGAGACCTTCCTGAAAAACGCGCGGTTTATCTTGGCCCCTCGGTATCCTCCCGTATACACCGGGTATTAACCGGCTGTCCGGCGAATCGAATTTATCGGACGGCCTGGCTTTATCGAACGCCCCCACTTAACGTCCTGCTTAATTAGGCACCGGCCGACCGGTGTGCTTAATGACGAAGGAGTCCCGATGACGCCAGGACGAGAAATCTCCTATTGCCATCCGCGTCCGTCCGTCCGATCCTCTTTGACGCTCTATCGGCACGTCCCCTCCGCATCGTGCGCTCCTTTCGAATCGCCGGTGAACGCCCGAGTAATTTACGTCGATTTCGTCGATAGATTCTCGCTTCCGAATGAAACTGGTTACGTTTCCAAGAACGGATCTATTTGCTTCGTAGTTTTTTCATTCGACCAGAATTTTCGCTTGTCGTTAAATCGAGGAATAATCTCTGAGACGCGACGCGACGTTGGATCATCGAAACAACGGAATACGTATCGACGATGTGGGTTCTGGTGATCGGTATGGACGAATGGAGAAGTGTTTAGACACCAGGGCGGCGACGAGTACGAGATCCGTATAGGACCAGAACAGCAGGGTTGAAGAAGAGAAGGGACTCTAAGAAGACGATGCCGATTACGTTCGATGTTCGTTTTACGGTCAAAGACGGAATAATCGTACAAGTTCGCGCTACCGGCTGCTTTAATAAGGGGAAACGATAAAGTTGAACGCCTGGACGTCGGCGAAATCGTCGGGACGCATTACGCGGCAATCAGGGATCGATAATTTTCGCGTTACGTGACAGCGATTGGCCA